GATAGAAATTTAACAAACAATCCACTATGAATACAACCTACCTAACATGATATAAAATTAGCCGATTAAGCAAGTAAAATTTAAAATAACATGAGAAGAGAAAATATTGATAAAAGAAAAAAGTCAGGAGTAAATTTTCACAAATGCATTTAGGGGCTGACTTTGTAGACGAAGGAGAAGACTATTCTTCACTGGGCGTGGACAGTTTAAAATCATTATTTATGTGACTGTGTAGCTAAGTTTTGGAAGCTGTATAATATATTCGATACAAAAGCTAAAGTATACTGCTTGTAGTGTTGCTTTCCATTAAGCCGACTTTAACTGAAAATTGCTAGTGTGTTGTGATTAACATGATGAGCGCTTACGCCGTTAACTTAAAAGTTTGGGATCATTCGTTTTCGGTGGAGAGAACAGTTGATAAGAAGCAGTCTGTTACATAATAAAAATACCTTTCTAATCCTCATGAGTTTGAAATTGTTGATTACCTACTTTATCTTACTCCCTGAATGCTGCACAACTAATTCCATTCTTTTCACTGTTTCATGAGAACATTTTTTTAACCAGCTTCTTGACATTTTCACGCCTGACCGCTTACTACTGTATAAAAACTTAGTGAGAATTTAAGATCACTTTCAACTCCTAGGAATACCCATTGTACTAATAACTACAACTTTACTGCCGTATATTCATTGAAGTCAATCGATGACTGCTTACACCGACAGCATTTATTTGTTTAGTCTAAACAGAATAATCTGAAGAACCTTTTGTGGCTGATCAGTTTTAAGTAGTTGGTACAAAAACAGCTTGGAAATGTACCACTAACGAGTTCTAGGTTGTTTCCATATGGGCAGGACATTTCACATGAAAATCGAGACATTTATTTCCGTTAATTTACCGTCTACTACTCTTTCTTGACAATACTCCTGATATAATACTTCTGACTAATGGTGGTTATTAGTGGAAAACGAGAATTTTTAATACCTCATCACGATTATGGACATTCCTTTCCGCCGTGTCTACTTTCGCTTTCATCGAAAGAAGACATATCGGTTGACTGGTTCCTGGAAGTCTTTCACCAGCCAGCATCATTTCTTCTCAGCAAACCTAGCAAAGATTACGTTTATTTTTCATGTTTTTCAGTAACATATTGGGTTGATTTTCCGGAGTAGGGTTTCTGGCACTATAACCAACCTCTCCAATTTTTCTGAACTTAGGACTGACTTGTAAACCATGGCAGGGTCCTCGTTTGCTAATTAATATAAAATGGTGAGCAATACTGAGGTTAGGCGTAGACTGCCAGGCTAAGAAGGCGATTTAGTCGATGAGGTTGTGAAGCTACGTCAACTGACATCTATTACGCATTTCGAACCGCTGCCTTCCTCGATGTGAGATGTTGGTCGACATACAGTTGCGTTGGAAAATGTAATGAGTAGTCAGATTGAAATCTAGTGTGAGTGGATGTAGACCATGACAGCTAGTGTGTGTCATCTAAGCAAGTGTAGACTGCCTAGTTAGGCTATTGTTGTCAATAACGCAAATTCAATTGCTTTTTGTCGTCTCCCACATCTATTAAACAATCTTGCTTTCCCATGTTGCTATTTTTCCTCGCCCCACATATCCCCGTATTAAGTTCTTTTCCCCAACCGAAAGCTGCTACCTTGACGTGGTGGTCGGGCTTGAACACCGCAATGACCTAATCAAGCTATACTGGCTGAGACTTATGTCTCTTGAGGTCCTACCATGCCAGAAAGGTTGTTTGGATAGCGGTTAGACAAAAAGCAGCTACCCAATACAATACTATGATTCAAACAAACTCATGAAATATCATGCCAGATCGGTCGGGGCCCGGATTAACAACGAACGCGCTTCCTGCTGCCGTGTCACAGGGCAGAATTGATAAATATGCTACTGAGACACACCAAACAATAAAGAACAAACAAAAACAGGCCACATGTGACCGGCCTCAAGCAGTTGTCCCCTGGGCTCTGCGGTCACGCAACCAACTTCCACGGTGTGAACAGCCGGGAAGTAACAATCTCCCTCACAATCCGAAATGCACACGAAACCTCTCTAATCCTCACTCATCTTTGTCTTCATCTTCATCTCTATTATCTTGTCTTCCTTCCACTGATGCAACTCCTCTACTTCTTCTTTTCAATATATACCTCTGTAGACTACATGGAGTGTGGCAACTTGAACAGCTATACCTCTGCGCAAAGTTGTGAGTCCAAAACCAGTTAAAACAGTTTAAAGCAATGGCATAGAAGTCTGTAAGATACTAGAACCAATAATTTAAGAGTAAGTGGTGAAAATAAAATATTCTGAGGCACAAAACCCGTCTTATGCAGATATTTGCGTTTTCAGTCGGCGGATTCACGTGTACGTATTCACACCTACACAAACTGCGTTTAAATTGAGTCGATGGACTTTATCGGAGATATATCTTCTAACAGCAGTACTGTTATCTTATAACAATTGTTTTATTACTTTTTTCATAATTCATAAAAGCGTTTGTTTTGCTGAAGTATTACAACAGAAAAGCTGCTGCTGAATACCCTAACTGTTGATACTTTCTCTCTCAGATGTCTTTCATTCCTCAGTTATGTCTGGGAGAAATAGACGAATCATGGCAGAAATAATTTCACACTTAATTCAACGATCAATCATTGGGATATCACATTTATATGCCAAGAACTTGACGTTTATTCAAAATTTTCGAAGACGTGTAATAACACATTGGGATCGCTAGTGAAAACATACAAAATTATAACTATTTTTTGTTACAACGTAATCGTTGACTCTACCTCACAAGTACAAGTGGATAACGTGTAGAGTGTAGTTTAGCAAAAGAGTAATAACCATCATATTAGTTTGATTACTTTAACTCAAATTTATTGTCTTATTTGAAAACATTTACCTACCCATGATTTCCTGTCTTAGCAATATTTCTCAAATAGTTACCATTCACACTAACCTTTTGCATCTTCATGCTATATGAATTCCTCAAACACTTAATAATAGTGGTGGTAAACAGACATGATGCCTTGATCATACTGAAATTAGAGATGTAGTTGGATTACCTTGTGAGGACTGATTGGTAATGTCCACTTACTTCCAATAAAGAAACAAATATGACAAAGCTGCTTGAATAAAGGAACTTAACGGATCATCAAGGAAATTCTATTTCTGCACTGAATGATAACACTTGGTATTCATAATGAACATGCCCAACATTTGGTTTCACCACAGCATCCCAGATATCTAGCAAATTTTTTATCTCTATTCCTTCAAGAATGAGATCATATCTTAGGGTTACGTGGTAAATGCTCACTTATAAGAATTCAAACAATACAAACCTTATCTATATGCCGTGTGCCAGTGATCTTAATTTCAAAAGTAGACAATGCTTTTTAATCTGGGATGTTTTACAAATGTCCACGAGATGTTGCAGTGCAGCAATGCTATCACTATAATCAGGATTATTGCAAAATCAATTTTTCAAAACATCCCATCAAATTATAAACACTGTTATATGTTCAGTTACATACCTACATTTTTATTCTACAAGTTAGGTCTCATTAGACATCTTTCACTAATTTAGACAGTACAAAGCCAATCTCACATCGAACTGAGAGCACTCTGAGTACCACAGCGTGAGAAATGCAGTAATACTAAATCAACGGGAAAAACAATAGTCCACACTGATATTAAGCAAAATATGTTGTATCATCAGTCACAGTCATGTCAGTGGGAACAAGACAGACGAAATATTTTCCCTATTCACATAAAAAAACAATTCCGTTCAAGCGGTTATTCAGCGAATTTTCGACAGTTCTGTTTAAATGGAACGCTTCCCAACTCTAACTGGTAATACAACAACTAGACTAACAAAACGTCGCATCTAATCAATTTTGAAGTCGGACTGTGTAAATAAAGGATAGTTATTAATATTTTGAATGAATTCACCAACCATGCTTCGTGCACCAGCGATAGAAGAACTGCATTACATTTCACTTTGGTCTGTTTATATTCCCTTTTAAAAAAATATTCGGTTTGTCTTATGCCTCAAAGGTTTTGACCCAAACTCTTGACCGTCATGATATATAAACAGTCTGAAAGCTTCGGCTGTGAGCTACCCTCTATTTTTGCATTCCTTGAGTTCATGCAATTTGCCTTTTTTACTTTTTTCTTGGAATTAGTATAGAGTTGTTACACTGCACGTGTGGCTCCAAGGACGGTGGGTGGTCAACAGCGTTGAAGATGCAATGCCATATTAAATAAGCTTACTGTAAATACCACACAGTGATGCAATATCAACAACTGAATGACATTTCGAGCATAAATGATTCCTGTGTGACCAAATTGACAGTAATAATAATAAGAACACTGACATTGGAGTTACATTCTACCAACGTGCTCAAGTTCTACGCCTACAGCATTACCGCCTGTAGAGGAAAAGCTTATTGACAGGTATCTCGATTCACATAAACGAAATGCTAAACTTCCTTATCACGTATAGCCTTCTTTCGATAAAAGCTTAAGGCACCATTGTAGTAGGTTAACATATAACATAATCGATCATCTCTTTCTAACTTTGATCTTGTACTGAACAGTCGCCTGATTGATTTTACAGTATAGTCTTCCATCTCCAAACAAACACAATTCCTGATATACGTTAATGCAGAGACTTGATGAGATTTATTTGATGCTGATCTCAACAGACTCCTTCTAAACTAAGTTGACTACTACTTACTTTGTCTAAATTTTCTACAACAGCTAGTCTTTTATGTATTTAAATGGAAAGCTACATGTGCCTGAGGTTAGCTAAGCTATGAAGGAAAGGCGGAACCCTTAAGACTCTAAAGGAGTCTTACAGTCAGCATCGAAATCCGTAGACATTTTACGCACACAAACACCACCACACTTCGGAGGCAGAACCACTACGAACAGTAGTTACATTGAAGTCAACTTCATAGTACAACATAGTCCGAGGCATTTTACACATTGCAAGATTCATGATTTTGATATTTTCAACCCCAACATTGACCACAAAATGCATATCAGGCAATTTCAATAATCACCTATAAAAACAGAATATTCATATGAGTTTATTTGCATGCAATTACTACTTTCATTATGATAATATATAATATAAGATCCAGATCCGGACTGTCTGTTACTAATAAGAGTTTAACCTTTCTGATATTTAGAAAATCTAAGTACAACAATTCAATACTCTTCATCGGACGAATCCGAAACATCATCGTCGTCGTCGTCATCATCATCATCATCATCGATATCTCCTCTTGGTCCATTTGGTCAACAAACGTTTTTAACCGATTTTCTTTGTCTATGTCGGTTAAACAGTGGCTCACTCGTTTCTTACTGGAAGTAGAGCTTTTTGCTGCTTTGGATGACGTGGAGTTGAGGTTCTCCTCGACTGCAGACGTCTCTGAATATGTAACAGAGCATGAATCAGTCTGGTAAGTGGTGCTGGGTTTTTCACTATCACTTCCAAAAGAATCATCCAAAAGTTCAACACCATGGATATCTCGATTTTTCAATGTTCCAAACCAAAATGCTTCAAGACAACGGTTTTGCGAAAGCATAATCTAAACAAGAGAAAACCACATCACATAAGTGCGATTAACAGCTAAATTGCAGTTGCAAAATTAAATAATAATAATAACTCCAGCCAGAAAAGAGTTTTATTATTTATTTAGTGAAAATTGTTTCAATTAATTTGAAACGAATCTTACTGATAGATATAAAAACAAATCTACACTTACATGAACACATAGCAGTTACTGCACCAGTCAAAACGATGCCACACAGTAACGAACACCTCTAATCAAACTTAGTTCTTCATGCACATGGATATGACCGTAATTACCAAGTAATAGAAAGCACTGAAATAAGTAAATGATCTTTATTCATTCGTAATACCGAATGGTTTGAGGGATGGCACCTTAAACAAATAAATTCTCATTTTCATAATACGCCTACTTTACTTATACGCGGGGAATACTACAGAAGTTCCATTCAATCATCGAGATGAGTGATGACATATGCTAAGGAGACCATCTACCTTCACTTCAAGTGACATCACAAGTCAGACTCCCGAGTGGCGCCCGAATGAAAAACGGTGATTTAGGCGCGTCCGAGGGTGACATGGAGAAAGACCATCACATGGACAGAAAGTGAAAACTTGCGGGCAGTTGTGGAGACAGATTGAAATGATGGCAAAATACGGTAAATTGGAGATGTGTTGCTTAAGACCTATGCTCTACTCGAAACGCAAGCAACGAGCAATAATAATAATAATAATGGTTATTTATTTGTTTATTTAATCACCTGAATTGGAATTAACGAATGGAGATATTTAAAAATGACAGTTTTCAAATATGTGAACAGGTTGGACGAGAATCTGCTGCAATCAGCATAAAGAACAACATTAGAATTCTCGATACTAAGGTCAAATCAGTTAGTTCTTCTATATGCTCCGAAGATCTACCATATCATCATCAGAAGCAATTACAACAGGCTTCACACTTTCATCAACAGCTGCCGTCGCCGCTGAGGACCATGGAAAGATAATAGACAGAGAATTCTGGGGACCAACCAACCAACCAAGAACATATTGACCAAAAGACATGTTGAAGGAAATGGAGATGGGCCAAACACATACTGAGAAAACCGTTGAGTGACATAGGGGACCGCAGTCTCTCGAATGGGAGACACCAAGTCAGGCATCACAGAGTGACATGGAGTAGATGGTGTGAGGAGGAGGCAAGACTCTATGAGCAATTGTGGAGAGGGCTAAAGAGGACTGAAGACAACAGAATGAAATGAAGATGTGCTGCAGAAGCGCTATGTTCAACTCGGAACCCAAGGGATAATAATAATTATTATTGGATAAGAGTGAATATCTACAAGAAATACCTAGGCATAACTAGGATTATTATTATCATCATTATTTACGAGTAAATCAGTTACATGATACTTACCTTGACCTTATAAACAAACGTCTCCAAACACCGTCTTGTTGCTGGAATTTGATTAGTTAATTGAGAATCACGGTACGCTTTGGCGTGATTACATATCCGTTGTAGGAAACGAGTCAACTGTTGTGTATTCTTCAAGAAAGTCGTCACCTCCACACCTCGACGTCTAAAATCAATGTTCAGTTTTTTAGAAATATGATATATAATGCAATATTGGGTCTATTATCCATGATATGGACGAGAGAACCTCTAAATAGGTACATATTATTCTTGAAATTTCAAAATCTAAGGATATTAAGAATTACTATATGACAGATACACTTCCCCACTAACTGCGCATGAGGTCATAGCAATTAAATGATGGGATAAGAGACAATTAATAGACTATGTGAAAGAGAAAATATACAACTTCATTGAACTTTACAAGAAAACACCTACTACTGTCGGTGATGCGCATTATAGGGGAATGCATCAATCAGGTTTAATTCTAAGTGAAATTTCAAAGAACTTTACATATTCAGCGCAGATTTTCCAGATGAAATAGAAGCTGATAATTATAAATACACTTTTTATATAACATCGCTTACCTGAATAAACTAGTTAATAAAGGCATAGCACCTGTTAATAGGGATTGAAGAAACAAACGTCCGGTTCGCATCAATGACGGCAGTATGTGAATTATTGGATTACGCTTATTAGTTTCAGTTATCTTGGATGAATTCGAAACCCCATGACCTGTGGGCGTTTGAAAGAGATTTGTAATACAGCACAGTACTTCAACACACTGATTCCAACGAGCGACAATGGAACTTTCATTGATATAAACTGAACTAGCTCCACTATTTACAAGTTTAGTAAAGTTACATAAACGTTTTGAAATCCTATAAATGAACAATTAAAATATTATTTAATTGTTTAAGAGAAATAATAATCAATTAAAGTCGTTGCTGATTCAATACCAACTAAACACCGAAATTGGTAAGCATTGTTTTCTACAACAAGGCTAACTTCAATGTGAAATGCAGGAAAATTTATCATTCTGAAGAACACTTTTGTACAAATACAAGATGAAAATTATCACTACAATTGCTAATATTTGCGGAGGAAACCCAATCATTACACGAATATTTGTCGACAAATAAAAATATAGCTGACTGGTTCAAGTAATCAAGCCATAGTAATAAACTTAACTAACAGACATTTCAGAACAATCTTTGTTATTCTTATTACTACAAAAGGAAACTTATACTTGAAAAAGTTAATCTCTGTTCTTACCACACTACAGTCTCCATCACGCCTCGGCAACATAGGTCCATTGTTTCGCTATTTAAACTTTTATAGGAATGAAGTAGGAATTCCGACCTGATATTTGAAGTACTCGCACTGTCAACATTCTCACAACGCTTAAATGCGCGGAGTAGAAATTCCCGGGTGAAATCGACAAGTAAGTCAGTTGAACGATCTAAAGAATGCTGTTCTTCAGAGAGGTAAACTTCACAACGGAAATGGAACGATAGTAAAGACTGAAGACACTCTTTATGAGTGATACCTAGTGTGCAAAAATCAAAATATTAATAATAATCAGCTATGAAATATGCATAAATAGTACAGTAAAATACAATTAATATGGAAGAACACGAAGGAATAAATAAATGAATTTCTAAGCACTTTTTAAAGCTAAAATTACTCAGGATCAAATGAACAGAACACCTAGTCAATTCACAATCCTTCAGTTCAATTGACACGACAAACAGAACCTTAAGGACATTTGATTAATCTGCAAAATATTTAGATAACATACTTTTAAGTGTGCTATCAAAGAAAGCTCTACACCATACAGTCAGTCAATCAGGGAAGATTTATTATGCATTTAGACACAGTGGTTAGGATTCTCGCCGACCATGCACATGGTCCGAGGCTCGATCCCCTGCCGACGCACACCTGATACCTATGGTCGGCCTTCAAAATTTGGGCTACCGATATCACATGCTGAAGATGCCATACTTGTACCAAAAATACTGTGGAATAAAGCTGTAATCAAAAAGAAGAAATAAAATACCTAACCTTTCGGCAGTTCAACAGTAAGAAACACCTTAAAAGAATAAAAAACATTTATAAACTACTCACGAATGTACTGAGTTTTCTTATGTACCTCAACATTCATCTCACCGATAAGTAAAACCCGATGCATTGATCAATTATTATTATTATCAATAGACAAAAGGACGAGACAAATATTGAAACTAATTCAGAGACACTCACAGACATTGAAAGCAGAGGGAAACTAAAGTATGTGCTCGCACAGAAGTCAATCATCAGGTCAAGTTTGCATAACTACACAGTGAACAGAAACAAAATATAGTCAAAAATTACAATAAATCAAAACGTGTACGTACACTAATGTCACCCCAACCGAAAGCTGCTACCTTGACGTGGTGGTCGGGCTTGAACACCGCAATGACCTAATCAAGCTATACTGGCTGAGACTTATGTCTCTTGAGGTCCTACCATGCCAGAAAGGTTGTTTGGATAGCGGTTAGACAAAAAGCAGCTACCCAATACAATACTATGATTCAAACAAACTCATGAAATATCATGCCAGATCGGTCGGGGCCCGGATTAACAACGAACGCGCTTCCTGCTGCCGTGTCACAGGGCAGAAGTGATAAATATGCTACTGAGACACACCAAACAATAAAGAACAAACAAAAACAGGCCACATGTGACCGGCCTCAAGCAGTTGTCCCCTGGGCTCTGCGGTCACGCAACCAACTTCCACGGTGTGGGCAGCCGGGAAGTAACAATCGCCCTCACAATCCGAAATGCACACGAAACCTCTCTAATCCTCACTCATCTTTGTCTTCATCTTCATCTCTATTATCTTGCCTTCCTTCCACTGATGCAACTCCTCTACTTGATGGCTCTTCACTTCCTCTTCACTCTGTGTCCACTAAAGACTACGGAAGCCAAAAAACCACCACCGATAGTCTCCCAAAGCCACGCCACCAATTTCATATAGGAGCATTTAATGTTAGGACACTTTGCCAAATAGGACAACAAGCATCACTAGCCAAGACTCTGGCATCCCGAGCCATTGATGTATGTTGTGTTTCAGAAACACGCATACAAGACCCAAGTGTGGTTATTCACCTAACCCCACCTGGCCAACAGGATGAATCTGCAAAATTCACCTTGAGGGTGTCAGGAGATGCCACAGCTAGTTCACGAGGATTAGCTGGTGTAGGGATAGCTTTGAGTACTAGGGCAGAAAAGACATTACTTGACTGGATCCCGGTAGATAGCCGAATGTGTGCTGTCCGTCTGAACGGATCAGTAAAAAGGAGAAAGGACTGCACTACTCGCCGATGCCTTTTCGTAATCTCCGCCTACGCCCCCACTGACTGCAGTTCAGATGAAACGAAGGATGAGTTCTACCAAAAGCTGTCTAGTTTGGTGCGAAAGGCTAAACGCTCAGATATAGTCGTTCTAGCTGGTGACTTTAATGCTCAAGTAGGGAAATTGTGTCAATCTGAGAAGGATGTCGGTGGCACCTATGGAGTCCCGTGCCAGCGAACCGACAACGGTGACCGTCTCCTACAGTTCTGCTCTGATAATCATTTGTTTCTTGTAAGCACTAACTTCAAACACAAGGAGAGACACTGTTTGACTTGGAGACCCCCTTCATCAAACCAACGCTGGACACAAATAGACCACATAGCAATAAGCTATCGTTGGCGTGGGTCGGTAGGAGATTGTCGCTCCTTCTGGAACACGTGTGTAGATACCGACCATGCACTGGTCCGCGCTCGGGTGTGCTTACGACTGAACGGACGTAGGAAACAGCTGGCGGTAAAACCATCACGTCCCCAGCTCGATCAGGAAACTAAATCCCTATTTGAGGAAGAACTAGCTAAACACATATCTGAGTTCGACAGCTGTGCTCACCCTGAAGAAGCCTGGAAAAATATCCAGGCAGCCATAGATACAGCTGTAAAAGCTGTGAATAAGGTAAACCCAAAGGTGAGTAAAAACCACTGGATCTCCACCGCCTCATCCGAACTGATAGATGCTAGAAGACTTATTCCGGCGAGCTCCGAATTCAATGAGGAGCGAAAGCTGCACAAAAGGAAACTTACGAAAAGTCTCCGCAAGGACCGTGAACAGTGGTGGGTGACAAAGGCGAAAGAGATGGAAAAAGCTTCGACGATAGGCAACACCAGGCAACTCTTTAGACTCATCAGGGAAACGGGTGGGAGAAGGCAAATCATAAGTGAAACAATCTCGGAGGAAAATGGCACCATAATTAGCTCTCAGGATAGACGCCTTGAACGCTGGAAAGAGCACTATGAGGAGCAGTTTGATTGGCTCACAGCCACGCTCAAACTGCCGAACATCCAACACCTCCCTGAATGGGATATAGACACAGGTCCTCCATCCTAACTGAGGTTACTAAAGCTGTCACCAATCTGAAACTAGGCAAAGCAGCGGGACCTGATGGAATCACTCCAGAGGTATTTAAGTACGGTGGAGACAGTTTACTGTCTGCATTAACTGAGGTACTAGGCAGCGCACGGGAATCAGAAGAAGTCCCATCGGGTTGGTGTAATTCACTGATTATCCCGATATACAAGAAGGGAGACAAGTCTTCCTGTGATAATCACAGAGGGATTAGCTTGACTAAAGTCTTAGGCTCAATAATCATGCGTAGACTAAGTGGTGTTCGGGAGGCACAAACACGAGAGAGTCAGACAGGCTTTAGACCAGGAAGAGGGTGTATTGATTCATGTCTTCTAGAACATAGGCATTCCTACCGGCGCCCAACAATCGTTATATTTCTTGACCTAAAGACGGAATTCCATTCTGTAGACCGAGATGTTCTACGGCGATGTTTGGCTGTAAAGGGAATGGTCATTATCCCCATTTCTATTCAACATTATCATAGATATACTAATGGACTTAACCCTAACTCGCTTCAGAGACTCAGGCAGGAATTGACTTGATACCAGGGAATAATGGTCTCGTCGACTTAGAATATGCAGACGATATAGTCCTACTAGGCGAGGACGCTGACAAAATGCAGTCTTCTAAACACCTTGAGCTGCAACCTACGGATGTTTGGCATGCGATTCACTCCCGATAAATGCAAGATGATGTTACAGGACTGGACTACATCGACTCCTAGCTTAGAAATAAAGAGTGAAGTGATAAAGCGTGTTGACTGCTTCACTTATTTGAGAAGTACCATCAGCCAGTGCCAACGGGTTGATCTCTGACGAAATCTCAGCACGAATACAGGGGGCTCGTTTCGCATTTGCCAGTTTACGCCGTCTCTGGCGTAGACGAGATATCCGACTATCGACCAAAGGGCGAGTGTACTGCTCACCACTCCGCTCCGTCCTCCTTTATGACCAGCTGTGAGACCTAGCCATTGAGAGTGGAAGACATGAAAAGCGTGGCTAGCTGTCTTCGATCATAGGTGCCTGCGTTCTATTTCCCGTGTGAAGTGGCATAATAAGGTGAGCAACATTGAAGTTAGGCGTCGAGTTCTAGGTAAACAGGGGAAATCAATCGACGAAGTCGTGAAGCTACAAAGACTGAGATGGTTAGGACATGTGCTACGTATGCCAAGCCATCGCCTCCCTCGACGAGCAATGTTAGCGGATATAGGGTCAGGCTGGAAAAAAGCTAGCGGCGGTCAAACAAAAACTTGGAACCAGTCAATGAAATCCACAACAGTTGGTCTAAGCCATGTAGGAAGGTCTAGACTTCCAGGCTGGGGTCCTCGGGACGGTAAAAATCTATGGTTGGAAACAATTGGTGACATGGCTCAAAATCGTTCTCAATGGCTGGCGCAGATGCATCCACTCCTTGTGACCAGATAGACACTAATGTCACGAAGGTATCTATGATTAGGTTTGCTATCACAAACATAACTCAGAGCCAGAAAGAATAAATGTATATGACTAATAGGTTATTAGGTAACACTAACCACTCTCTTCCAATTTCAATACTGTATGATATTTCAAGTCTTCACAATAAGGCACAATGACTTTCGCCCAACACATTTTATGCCAACAACTAATTTGAAATCTCCCTAACCCTAGCCAATCAATCACCTAACCATGACAATACATACACACTGACAATTAAAACTGCAACAATGGACGATGACTTCTGTACTTTTTCAAATTCGGTTTAAAAAAGTCACTATAAAAGTAGCAATATGTAATTCACTCACTCATTAAACATTTTGTATTATATTGTTATTTTATCCTTTAGTTCCTATAGGAACATCTCCTCTTCACATGACCTCCTCCAAGTCACTCTCGCACTGACGACCAACTCTACGCCTCTTTTTCGGGTTCCACTCGAAGGTTTGTCTAATGATGTCACTTGATGCTTTCCTCAGAGTACGGCCAATCCATCTACGTTTCTTCCTGCCTATTTGTTTCACAATCGGTTCCTGGTTGATTCGCTCGTCGCCAGAAATCTTTGTTGCTGATCTTTTCTGGCCATCAGATCTTGAGTATTGAATGAAGAGACATCTGTTGCTGAAGATTTGTAGTTTCTTCAAAGTGCCCTTCGTGAGGTAACACTGATTTCACATTGGAGTTGAAAATCTACATCTTATTTTTCATGCTGAGTGCTGTTTATCTCCGCACAGACTTGAGAGAAATGAAAGCTTTCCTGGCTTTCCCGATCCTCGCTTTGATATCCTCGTCAGTTCCGCCTGTAGTTGGAACGATGCAGGTAAAGGAGGTTGCTTCTTCCAGATTTCTACCATTTATGCTGATCGCTGTCATTTGTTGGTGTTGTTGTTGTTGCTACTGACCACGAATCTTCATCACCTCTGCGTTCTCTATGTTCACCTGAAGGCCTATCTTCTCTGGATGCTTCTTCTGCCAACTTGTTGCTTTTCACTTGCATATCTTACAGTTTGTCGGAAATCAGACATATATCATCGGCGAAGTCCAGATCCTTTAAGTATTTTGTGTGGGTCCATTTTAGGCCTGTTTCCTCGCTGCCCGTTGTCTGTCGCATTATTCAGTTCAACGCAATCAGGAAAATAATTAGCGATAGTAGACAGCCTTACCTCACTTCAAAAAGTTCTGTAAGTTTCCCGTTGTGGATTACTTGGCATGCAGCATTGTCGTATAAATGTTGGATGAGATGTATAATTTTCGATGGGACTCCGTAGTAGCGAAGTAGTTGTCAAATGACCTATCGATCGACGCTGTCGAAGGCCTCCCCAAAGTCAATGAAGTTGAGATAGAGAGGTGACTGCCATTCCAAGCTTCGATCAATGATGATCAGTAGTGTGGCGATTTGATCAATACATGACTTGTTTCTCTTGAATCCAACTTATTCCGGTCGAAGTTTTCCATCTAGGGCTTGTTTGATTCTCTCCAGGATGATGCGGCTTAGTATTTTTCTTCGGATGGACAGGAGCATAATTCCACGCCAGTTTTTGCATTGACTTGAGTTTTCTTTCTTTGACAGTTTGAATAAGTATTCTTTCTTCTAATCCTCGGGTATTTTGCCCTCTTTCCACACGTCCAGTAATGGCGTCCGCTGTTGTCTCTGGGTCTATTTTCAAAGCTCCTGCTGGGATTCCATCTGGTCCTGCTGCTTTTCCAGTTTCTAGCATCTTGATTGCCTTCAATATTTGTGTTCTCGTCGGAGGATTGATGTTCACTGGTAGTACTGCTTCCATAGTTAGGCGCGTTGTAGGTGGCGGTTAAAGGTATTATCTGTTAACAAGATTATATCTACACATTCAGTGTTCGAAAGGCAAATAATTACAATATGTTTTGCAGCTTTTTTGTTAAGAAACTCAACAGAAATAACCGTTTTATATAACTACGTTAATGTAACGTAGTAATCGAAAAGCGCGTATTATATAGCTAAGGATAAACATTAGAGTGATAAATCATCGCAAAAAGGAGATACTAAATAGGCCTGTTAACCGCGGTCACCACAAACAGCTTAATGGAAAAACATAACCTGATGCGTTTGTTAGCAAACCGATTCCAATCCAATTCAACCACCACCACATCATCCAAATAGAGTGACCATCAAAAATAAATGTTACCTTTCCATTTGATGGAAGTGTCCCAATCTTGATTTAATAATTCACTAGTATATTGGAGTAAGTTCGGTACCTAAAACAAAATAGTCGAAAATAAAGAGTAAAGATACAGATTTGTGCGTGTATTCCCTCTTATTCTGAAAATAATCCTAAAATGTTTACTTAATTCTCGAGGATTAATCTAGATCCCCCAAGTCAACGTACATTCGCCTCGTCCACCTAGAGATCGGACTTTAAAACAAAACTTAATGTCACCGTTTAGGGATAAATTCAAGCTTATGCCTATTAGACATCAACGAGGTTTATGCGACAATATCCATTGGTTACAACTTAATGGAAACATAAAAACCAGCAAAAATAAAATAACAAAAAGGTATCCGAAAATTTCACACGTAAGTTTATATTTTACGGAAGAATTTTAAAAAATTATGTGCTTTCCTAGAAAGAACATCGTGAATGTAAACACGAAGAGGACCAAACAAGTCCTTTTATAATGAGGTGAAACGGTGAAGAAAAATTAGCCTGCATTACTAACATAACATGAATTAATCAATCACTAAAGTAATGTTATGGCAGAAGTTAGAATTCATGGGCCGTTGGATCGGATCCCAGTAGCTTAATGGTCTACAAGCTCCCCATGTATGTAACCAGAGGGTCCTGGTCCGGCGGGTGACTACTGATGAAGAGTCAAAAACTAGGAAGAAATAGTTGTCCAGTACTTTTTGATTCTCTAATGGGTTTTATAACTGATGTCAGCTCATGATGAAATCCTCCAACCAATCGAACAAAAACCCTTACAAAAACCAATACCTGATTTAGTTTCAGAAGTTAATGGAACTTTCAAGTGTTGGAGTTTGCAGGGATTTGATTCATTTCATGGTTGATCACAAACTGACTTCAGTTATGGTCATGAGTGGGTACTGTTGAAAATCGACCTAGTGTTCACTACTAACAGCCAACTACATGATGAAACTGTCTGAAATTTTAATGAGAATTCATGACAAGAACGTTTTATCAAATCGGTTGTGACAACAAATACCCTTCGATGATAGTGTCTGATGGTTAGACTATATATACGGCGAGATGGCAGAAGTTAGAATTCATGTTTCATTGGATTTTCACCTCAATGGTCAACGAGCTCACTTCATAACCTGAAGGTCCTGAGTTTGACGCCTGGTAACTTTGTGGTCGCATGTTGTGCAGCACCGAAAAAGAACGAAACAACTATACAGTACTCCAAGGTTTTCAATGGTTGTCAAACTTGAAAGTGATGGAAGTAAAACAGTAGCCAAGAAATGCATACAAAATGATATATATAGACTTTGAAGAATGTTCATAGAACTTACATTTAACAATAATTTCATATACGTATAATAATTATTAGTAGTAGTCATATGTTACAAATCATTTTAGATGGTTGTCATGTTTAGAAAGGGCAAAAATAAACAAGATTATCACTAACCCAGCGTATATTTGTATCAGATGGACTTGAGGTACGCAACTTCTTTTGACATGCATAATACAAAGAAGTTAGATAAAATACAAGACGACAATGAAGAAGAGCTGCGTTTGCATGAGGTAATTTCGAAGGTGGAATATTTCTCATCAGATATTCTATGATAGTGCGCAGGTTTTGCGATAAGCTGATATAATCTGAGGTGAAAAAGTGAACGTGAAAGTGAAGAAAAATCGATACACGTTCTCAAAAATACACGAATAAAACCAAACAAATATACAGATGCATAGCAAAGCAAATGTATTTACCAGACGAATAGTACGATCAAATTTGTCTACATACTCTCAAATAGTTGAATACCAGTTCTAGATTATTGTAGAAAAAAGTCTAAAATCACTGTCTTTTAAATTCCCAAAATGAACACAAAATCAATGAAGTCAGGACGCTATTAGAATCGATGATAATAGTCATCGGTTGTGACTAGTGACAATTTTTTCAGTGCTTCACTTCTATCGCTAAAGAAAATCAAGACTTATTTATATTTCACCCACACCGAATACTTTGACGAAATGCCTGTTCCACTTTACATCCACGCAATTTACAATTTATCTGAAGTTCACCAATATAAAAAGTAGAAAAGAACTGTTCCTCATGCGTAAACAAGGAGCCTTTTTACATACAACAGCAATTTAAGAGAGACAAGGTAACAAATGCAATAATAACCAACAAGTTCACAAAATCGGTTCAAAGAACTCTGAATAATGTTGATAAACCTCAGGTCATATTTTCCACACAACCAGTTGTGATACCTCAATTGAAAGAAGAAGTATCTAGGCTAGCTAACTATCTTCGTATCTATCAATTCAATTGCCCCTGTGGAGCTGGTGTCATATTGGCCGTTGCTCGGCAACACCTACCAATGTGGCTAAATTAAGCATTAATGAAAACCATCAGTAGTTCGACATATAATAAAAACTTAGAACATAGTCTGAAGTACGTGTAATATAAACATTCTCCTTACTAGTTTAGAATTGTATACCGAAAATTCTTGGTAAGAGTCACCGGAATAGTTGAAGACTGTTGGCAACATGGCTTGAGACCGCAGGCGAAATTTATTCCTTGTGGATTTCTAGATTTTAAAAATAATCTAGTTCTTCATGTGGCCAGAATTTCTTCGCCACATGGGCAAAAAACCTTCACCTTACTCTCAAGAAAGCAGAAACCTAGACGCTTAGTGAACACAGGATTGCCAATAACAGCAGATCGAGGCTCATATCATCATCTACTACAAGCGAACTTCAGGATCAAGATGAAAGTCGTTGAGGAAGCTGGACACAACACAATTCATGTTAGACAGCCTGAATCTGAAGAACAAAGCTACATCACTGCAGCCATGTGGAAAAGTTTTGAGACATACGGAAATGCCAGTGAGAGAATCTGCGGGGAACTCTCCGATAACGATTTGGAAGAAGACCTGTATAGTCAGGAACAAAACACGAAAGGAACGGATCTCTACAAACACACGGAACCTAGTAGATGAGAGGAGGATGGTCAAGCAGAAGATGAACTAGTGCAGAGATGAACAACGAAAGGAAAAACTGAGGATAACCTCGAGAGCAAGCCGTAGGTAAAAGAGAATTCACAACACAATATCACATAAATGATTCAAGATCTGGGAAGGGAACACCACAAGTGAGAAGAAAAGTGGTGAAGGAAACCTAATTACCAACGAGATGAAAGAAAACAAACACTGGGCTGGTTACTTCGAAGAGCTCTTGCAATAATCAACCCGTCTACAAGTATCATTAGCAGTCAAAGAACTACTGGTGAACAAAAATCCTACGAGAAAAACAGAATCTTGAATACCACAAAGTTACTGGAAACCGGGGAAGCAGCAGGATCAGATGCAATTCCCTCGAATGCACTGAAAACGGACCCAGAGACCTCAGATAATATACTCACGCCATTACTTCACAAAGTTTGCAAGGAAGGGAATAAATCTGGATAGTTGTAGTTACGCTCCTTTATTAAGCTCGCATAGACGAGCAACTTAAGCCTATACAAGAAATGAAACAGAACCATACTCCTGTTCATTCCAAGCAAAATATTAAGCTATCAACATGCTGGGAGGATATGTTGGATGGAAGACCGCCTTGGAGAAGTAATGCACACATATATCAGGTAGTCAACTCTGTACATCAACTTCACCAACTTTGAAAAGGCCTTCGGCAGCGTGGGCTGTAAAGTAACTTAGAAACGAAACTGCTCCAACACTACAAAGTAAACTACGGCGAACACTTACACACTCATTCAACAGCTATATGATGACACATGCAAAGTGATTCACAGCTGAAAGCTTGATGAAGCCTTTGTTGCATTGAAGACAGCAGTAAGGCAGTGTTGCCCACTACCTATCAAACACGATATTTCTGATTTCGGTTGACTGGATCATGCAACAGACTGAGAGGATAGGAAAGACAGACAGACGTTAGACCGACAAAAAGACTTTAGAAGATCCGGAGTTCGCGGATGATTTCCAACATGCTGAAAACTTCTACCAACACCCAGTTACACTCGATGCTGAGGATCAGCCAGGCGGACAGAAGGGATAAGTAAGAAAGCACTACAGTAGCCAATCAAACAAGCAGCTGCAACTAAAAACATATGCAGAAGGAAATGAAGATGAATTAGAAGTGTAGCAGCTAGTGTGTAAAACGTCTATGGTTCAGTTTAGGAGATTAACGCTACCGAAAAACAAAGCACATGTAAATAGACTTCACATGGATTCAGAATATGTTAACTCACTGATATTTTGAAAATCACTGATTTCTTTTTGAGCAGTTGATAGATCATCAGTGTCAATAAAGACATCAACAAAATACCTCGTAGACAAGTCATCCATCTGCTTCACGAATGATGCATTTTGTGATGATTCGTTTTGAGGAAAAACAACAGATTCACAATAGTTATAATTAATTACACCGTCTTCATTGACCACAATTGTACGAATAGGCTTAATAGCATTTCCGGAATTACAACACTTCGCTAATGTGTGTATAATGTTATAGGAAAATATACTCATAGAATTTAAAACCTCTAAACCGTTACTGTAAAACAAATAGTGATCAATATTTGAGGAAAGCCTTGTTAATCCATTTACCAAGATCAACAGAGAACGCAGACACGAACACACGACGGATGAAACCTGATATCTCGTGCCAAACGCTAGGCTATCGTCAACAACATCATCGTCATCAGATGAGCTGGCTACTTCAAGAAGAGGCGGATTGGATTCTGGTTTAATGGAGGCTACAGTTTTTCGTAACTCAACTTCTTCTATGGATGAGTCACATGGACAAATTAGATCATCCAAACTGCTTTCACTATCATCTGTGTGCTTTGTTCCACCTAGTAGGAGAAATTAAACAGAACGCAGTGAAAGATTATCATCAACCAACTTGGTAATTATGATAACGTAAAAAATACACCATAACCTACCTACTTCAACAACAATCTATGCAGTGAAAAACTAATAACAAACGACAATCAACTTGGACTTTACCATTCAGTTATCAATTCATAGGCTAGATTAGCTGAACAGAAAATCACAAAATTATTTATATGGACTTCCGATAAATTGGAAGCTATAAGAAAAAGGAATTGTGTAGTGGTGGTGAATAAAATTGCATTCACAATTTATGTGAAACAATATTGAGTGAGAAATGTATATTCTCAAAGTCTTGAAAGAAGGAAAGTCAAACACTGGAGCAAAATAAGATGAATTCATTTCACTCCATGGTTCCTCATCAGTTGGGTACAACCTGTTTTAACGAGTTGTAATACAGCTCTAAGATTTTTTTCTTTAGTCAATAGGAATCAGTCCATCCTCCAGTAGAGAATATTGTAATAACGTCACAGTGGAATAAAACGTAGGGATAATGCATTATTGTTTCAAGGTATTAATCATCGTATTTTATTACGCCTTGTTATTTATAACTGTCACTCACGTATTAAAGTGATTGAGCAGTATCTAATTTTTAATGTTGTTAAAACTAACAACATTTTACGAGAAATTTCATTCATAAATATGACCTATTATTCCTATGCTTTTATTTCATTATGGAGTTATGACAATATTCTTTACTGGAGGACTGATTCCTATGAATACATAACAATATTAGGGCTTTGTTAAACCTCGTCCCACTAAATATAACCAGCAGAGAAGAGAAGAGAAGAGAAACCACGAAATAATACGGATCCATGTCTATAAATTGCCACTTTCAAATTCAACAGTTTGTTCAGTCAGTATGACAATGACAAATGTCAAGTGATTCAGGAAGAAAAACTCGGTGCAGCGTTTGATGTGAGTACAGGAGTAAGACAAGGCTGCTTACTATCATCGACGATATTTCTGATTGTGATAGACTGTGGGGAGCGAGAAAACATGAATACGTCGGACCGACTAGAAACGCTAGAAGCTCTGGATTTCGCAGACAATTTATGTCTGACGTTACACAACTCGAAGATTTACAAGCAAAAGTAACAAATTGGCAGATGAAGCAGTAAAGAAAGGACTTCAAGTGAACATAGAGAAAATGGGAGTGATGAAAATAACCAACCAACAACAACAACAAGCATCAATCACTGCCAACGGAAGAAACTTGAAAAAAGGTCACTTCCTTCACTTATCTGAGAAGCATCGTTCCAACCACAGGCAATGGAAATGGGTGGAGATGTCAAAGCCAGCTAGTCAGTTAGAATCGGAAAGGTAGGATACACCTTCATCAATCTAAAATCGGTTTGGAAATCCTCTGCACACCGCCTCAGGACGAGGAAGGAGGTTCGGATTTTCAACACAAACGTCGAACCAGTCAGTTCTTCTGTATCAGTTAGAAACATGGCGAGCATATCAAGAAAAGCATTTCCAAAGGGCTACTGAAGATATTTATCGACAGCTGTCTTGTTCATTGGCTGGCTCCATATTGAGCATCAGATGGCTGGTCAGAAAGAATTAGCAACAAGAAACTATGAGAAAAAACTAACCAAGAACCTATCGCTCACCAGATAGGCCGGAGAAAATGGAGATGGATCCAACACACGCTGAGGAAACCTTTAAGTGATATCGCGGGTCTGGTCCTCAAATGGAACCCGAGTGGGAGACAACGAGTTATTGGGTGGTCAAGAGTGACACTGAGGGGTCGTGTGAGGATATGAGAGCCTATGGGCAGTTGTAAGGCAGAATAAAGGACGAAGTAGAGATGTGCTGTTGAAGCACTGTGTCCCAATCGGAACCTAAGGGAATAATAATAATATAATACACAATATGCAGTCGATGTGCAGTACACTTGCACAGTACAACAAGACAAAAAATTCTTTAACGCGTTTGTTGGCAAAGTAACCAATATATGTCAGTCCAGGAAGTTACATGACAGTCATATACGTTATACTGTAAAACGTGTCTTAACCAATCTACATTGGACGTACCATGCGCCAACTTGAGAAACGCTCTCGTGAAAACTTTCCGGCCTGGCCAGTAAAAAGAGAACGAAAACGATTATATAGTTCAGTGACAGAACATCTGATCAATTCAGGACATTCAGCGCCATTCGAAAAATCCCTCAAAAAGAATATACAAGGTTCGATCAAACCTATCAAAGGGAGTGAAATTAAGACACCTGGGTATAGCCCAGGCACTAGCTATCCAAAAGTTCAAACCCACACTTTATATCCAAAAGAAATACGTCCAACCCTTGTCCCTGCCGTGGCTATTATAAACAGGTAATTCTTTTATTAGTGACTATCCCATTGCCTTTCTTAGCCAAACTTCCTGTGTGTTCATGTTATTTTAAGTTTTTCTTAATCCCCATTTACACTACCATATTTTCATATCCGAACGTTCTGTCTGTTTTATTTTATTATTTCTACATATTTAATCCCTGATTGCATAAACAATTATTCGTCACATTAGTTACAATCCCACTAGACATTTTTTAAAAACATCCTGTCTACTTTTGTTATTTCTACATTTCTGGCCCCTAAGTGCACAATACGTCAATCTTCTCAGTAATTATGATGCTACTATGTTTGAGCTTTATCCATCCCCCTGTTTATTATAAATACACGAATGTACAGCCTTGTTGATGATTTCGTCGAAAAGAAAATTTTCTTCGCTTTAAGTGTCTTTTTATTCCCAACAATCTATATAAGAATGCCACATCAATTCCTGACGAATAAGGATAGGTCGACTGCCCACAAAGGGACCTGAGATGTACGAAATGAGGATAGCTTTCAACTCCCAACGCCCTTCAAAGTGAGGAATCTAATAAAAATTTATCGGAAGTCATTTATGAAGGGATATTTTTGAGTTGAAGCTTACAGTTCTCAAGGTGGATGGCGATGACGAAAAACCACCACTAATATTTTTACTGAGATTCCTCTGAGTCTAGCTTAGAAACCAAATGGTCACGTAGGAGAATGTGAGGCTTTAAGTAATGCAGCACATGAAATTAGTGTAATGTGACAAAAACAAATTAAAAACATACGGAACTATACAAAAGGGGAACCAGGGTCAACTTCATGTTAAACACACTAGTAGAAGTATGTCTGTTCAAAATGAACAGCAAATTCTACCAGTAAAAAGCTGCTCATGTTTAAAATCAACGGAGTTAGCACAATTAACAGACTATACGGTAATAGAACATTTAATACCAACCAAAGTGGTACTACAGCTACTGTTGTAAAGAATAAAGTTAAAACTGCACGCAATAATCATGAATAATGGGGGAAAATATATGAAGCACAGGAAAACAACTGACCTGTTAAATAATCCACTGCACGAATCAATGCACTGAAAATGCAGGGTACTAAAGAGGAAAGATAACTGAGCTTCACAAATTCGGAAAGATTACGAAGACGTTCAAACGCATTCCATCCGAAAGCCAGTGGTGGACTATGAAGTAAAATTAAAATAAACGTCGTTCAGTGCTTCAACTGTAAGGGATAAAAAAACTGAATAATGTTAAACTACAAATAATGCAATCACTTCAACTGCAATGCGGTCATTGAAATTTGACTAAAAACCACGTTTCACATTACTTACGAGTAATAAAATCAAGTGGTAGAAAGAGAACTTCTAACTGATCCCCATACACTTTTAAGTATCCTTTCCGAAAATCAACTACAAGCTTTGTTACTGGATCCTAACTGATGCGAAAATGTATCCAGAGTCAACAGACTGCACACTCAACTGTAACTCGAAAACCTAAACAGAAATACTTCTGATCTCATACTCACGCCACCACAGCAATTTCAACACTTCAAACCAACAGTTCATGTTTGTTATCATCAATTTACCAATTCAAAGCCTAGTTCTAATAATCTTTTGATGTTATTATCATAAGCCACTTGTATAAATGGGTTATTGCTGTAACGAATCGCCAGGAATATGTCGATTAATTCTTAGTGACTTTTTCTGGTCAGATGAAATTCCCCAAACCCAACAGTGAAGTCAACAAGAAAATCAACTGGCAGATGTTTTAAAAAACATCAAGGATGAATCAATAATCGCACCAGATTTATGTGGACGCATTTGACCCGTCTCCTCCGTAATCGCACGTCTGTTTACACAGACTGATGGAAATTCATGAAACAGCTCTATCCCTTTAGCCGATTCAGGATATGGTTAATTCACCTGATCACGGTATCGTTCAATGGCTAGCTGAAATACTAAAACCAGTTAGAAGGTAAGTATCTAAGGTTTTTATTGGAGACATTTCAAATTGAGGAACTGAGGGTATTAAAGATTTCAAAGTCTCACACAGGGTCATACTCTCACTCTTTATTCACCAATGTACCTCTCACAGAAACTGTCTGCTATTTATGCAATTCTTTCGATGAACATGGATTAGATATGGGGTTGTCAACATCCCACCTCACAGAACTCTTATTGAAATGCACCTTTAACGTTCAGCTTAGCTTCGATAATGAGATTTGTAGGCAGAAAGATGACGCTGTGATGGTATCACCACTGGGACCATTGCTACCTGACTGTTTTATTTCAAAGCTTGAAATCACAATCTAGTCAAACTGTTTGTCACTCTCATACTTACAGAAGATATGTGGACAACATGTTCGTTATCTGAGATAAGGATGGAGTACTTGATGATATTTTGTTACCATTCAACAATTGTCAGCCATCCTCACAATATACAAATAGAAAAAGAATCCGAACTAAACATTTCTTCTCTCAATGTGCTCCTTATTCAAAGTAATTACGGAATTCTTGAAAGATTCATCCACCGAAGACATACATGGAATAGAAAACTAACTAATTTCCATGGCTGGGTGACTATTTGCAGCAGAGCAAATCTCACTCTTTCCCTCTGCTACTGTTCAAAAAATATTTGCAGTTCGGCTTGCGTTAACTCGAAACGTCCTTTCCTAAAAGTCATAATTCCTGAAAACGAATACCCAAACCGAGTTATTGGTGAAAACACGAAAGACAAACACTCTAAACTGGTCACTAAGTTAGTTTCCAAGACACCATCTTCTTAAATCTATGATTCCCAGGTGATTAAGATTTAGATATCCTCAAAAATCATCTTTCTAAATCAGTCAGCAAGACGTTCTTTGCAGCATAACTCTAACCAACTTTCCCTAGCTGTGCTGAAAATTCCACACTGTACCACAAGTACTGTTTCTGGAATAAAGCGAAATTGTTATTGTTATTATTGTTAACATGTTTTCTGTTTGTGTAAAAGACAAGCTCACTCGTTTAGCCACCACCTTGCTCTGGTGGAGCAAGGTATATCAGCCGTAGCCACAAAACACTTTCCACACGAATAGGAGAGCACATCCCAGCATGGTTTTACAAGGGAAAAAGAAAGGATGTGCGAAACTATTTTACAACATGTCATCGACTTCTGTCACTCTACCAGCCCTGAACATGATTTGAAGATCATCTATCGAATTCATGCTAACTTGCTGCGTTTTGTCTCTTCCAAATTTCTAAAGAATATAGAGGCCTTGGCGACTCATGTATTCGAGTCGGAACTTCACGTACAAAAGAAGTATGTACAGTTCTTATTTTTACCTCAACCGTACATGGATAAACATTCATTTATTTTTCATTTTGTTCGTTTAATCTATGTACATTTCACTTATTATTGCAGCTATACAGTTCGGTGATAAATCCATTGAAAAGTGTTTTTAATGAATATCTTGTTCTTAATAAATACCAATCTATTCCGGTGAACTTAACATCTCTCAAGGGACGCACTCGTCATACAGGAATTGCAAATACGACTGAACGTGCAATATTACTACTGATGCATCAACACGTTATGACAACCAGTCTGTGGGTAGTTCGACACAAATAATGCTAATATTAAAAAAGATTATTTCGAATTATAGTTTTGATATATCGGGTCCGTTGACTGACTGGATATAGAATGCGAACATCAAATGTCTGGAGATGTTGTCGGGAAGTTGTGTTACGAGAAAAAATTGAAGTTTATGCATTATCGCAATTTTTAAACAGAGAAGGATGTAAAAATGGTTCAATTTTCTTGCACAAGTGACCGATTACTTGAACACTAGCAGAAACAGAGGTGAACAGCAGTAACTATCCCGATACATATCTAATGTGATGATAACACAACGATGTCACAAGTAACCCAATGACAACGAAAGACTGGTGACGGAAGTACGAATGCAAAGTTTTGTTTGTCGGAGATCTATGCGAATTTCATATCGGAAAGATACACAAACACGACTAGAAACAAATTTGCTATTTAATAAACAACCTGGTGCTTCCTAATACAACATTGTTGAGCATATTCTGAATTTTATACATAACGCTAGTTCTATGTAACTAGCATTTTTCAGTACAACTTTCGTATGTGGCTACTGCGGCGTTTGCCGCCATTTAGTTGAGATTAACAGCATGGTAAATCACACCACAGGATTTGTAAATTTCTCTGATTACAGTTTTGGTGTTCCTTGCTATTAACCCCAAACCTTTTCTGAAAGTACGCCTATATTCTATCACGTTAGTCAACTTTTTCCCTGTTCAGACATAATTACTCGCATTACGTCATTACTGCTCTTGCTGTTTAACACTGACTTTTATATCATCCTTTTCCAATGGAATCTGTCGCTTAACAAGAAAATCTCTGAGTTTTTACCTCATTATTATTATTATTATCATCATTCATTCCCGTAATTGTTCATATTGCGATTTAAGTTAACTTTTCCTTCCCGATTGACTTTGTTGTAAATTCTACATAATCTTGGAGCAATGAAATATGCCAAGTATGGATTGACATTTTATATGTCATTATTTGAGTTATGAGGAGGAATTTAATCACATAAATAAGAAAAATTTAGTTTCTTATAGACAGACATTTTAGAGATAGAGGGAAAAGATTCCATAAAAAGTTTAAGATACACAACATTTGAAAACAAAGAAACTTACGAGACCTCAGTGATAACATCTAAACGAATGCTTATTTCTTCTAGAAGCCAAGTTAAGGTGATCCAGTCGAGAGAAGCAGCTGATTTTGAAACCTCGACATTACTGACTGTAACCGACCATGGCCAAGATTCAAGGCCTAGAACAAGGGCACTAAGATCCAATTCGCGAAAGCACGTAGTCAGCTCCAACAAATTTGGCTAGTATAAGCAAATTAATCAAGCTTCTCCTTAGTCTGATAAAGCATTACTTAATAGAAAACATTTTGAAGTCAGTTTGTTGCTCATAATCAAATTAAGGTTTAATTCAATTACAGATTTTCCCGTCGATTGATTGGACCGAAGTGCTAGGCGTCAGGTCGACATGTCGGCTGTTTGTGCAGTTGCTTTGACGATGTCTGGGCATGTAATTAGAGCACTTCGGTAGAATCAATCGACAGGAAACATCTAAAGTTGAATTAAATAGTCAATAAAACTCATTGCACCAGAAGTAGCTCTCGTGGTCCAGATGGTCTAGTTGAATACCGCCTTTGGCGTTTGAAACTATGGGCACTGGGTTTGAGCCTCGGTGGGAACATCATTCACCGCTGAATGCAGCTGCATCCAGTTGGCGAGTCCCAAATGGGACGAAATACGCATCCTGGATTCCAGTGCTAGTCACCATCCACAAATCAACTTCAAACTAAGGTTTAATTAATTAGGTGTTAGGTTCTTTCAAAGGACAAATATGAATCAGGAACTCACTAAAAATGTCAGAAAAATCAGGATGTTTCATTTCGCAGACAATACGCTGTATTGTGAAATACCTCTACTTCCACACATAATGTAACTTTGACACAGTGTATAAATCTACTTGAGGTTTTATGCTTTTCCAGGAAAAAGTAATCATAGCATACGTATAAAAACGAATTCACAGGGGAAAATGTTCTGTCTAACTGTCCTTTTTCCCCTCACACTTTATTGTCATTGAAAGGCACTTATTTTCGCTATCGTGACTTCTGAATATGATAATGACATGCTTAACTACTGTCTGTCTGGATTCAACATAGAACTTGGCACCGAAGTGCAGCAGTTCGAGTTGCCACCTTCCAAATAGCATACAGAGGTAGACAAGGAGATGAATGAAGAGAATCAATAGAGTCTGACAAGTATAAGAGTGAAACAGAAAATAAGTATTTCTTCAGGATCACATGGCCTTTAACTAAGAGAATGTTTTGGACTATAAGACAGTACACACATCTTTTGCCAGCTACAATGACAGGCTTTCCTTCGTAATATTTTCAATGCTTTATTAAAACTAGAAAACAATTAACATCTGTCGGATGTCGAAAATGAAACAACTTTTCGGACAGTCACAAAGTAGGATGAAAAGGACAGTTGTACATTATACGGATCTTCTGACGGACGACCAAAGTTGGTGCAAGTGGGGGAATGACAACAAGTATTTGAATTTGACCAACAGCTTGTCTATAAACAAACAGGAACTAATTTGTCTTGAGAAAAATAGCAGTCACACAAACATGACTCGTAGATTTTATAGGGAAAAATCAAGAAAATTAAATCAATTCAAGGTGACAAAAATATAATAATGAAGAGCTCGCATACCGTGACACAATGTTTGCTGGATTTTCTGCCTTTTCTAGTGCCAACTAAAGCCATTTTCGATAACTTTGTACGCGCAGACTTTTTGCCACCAGTTTTGCACACTTGGGAAACTTGTGAATCAGTACGCTGAGTAATGTTAGAGTCGTTTTGAGAGACTGATGAATCGCTTAGTTCAGATGCATAGCTGTCTCGATTCTCACATGTTCCTTTGGTATCCAATATTTTCTTACGTTTTTTCGCACCTACATCAACAGCACGCGACGTATTCCTGTTCGCACAACTACTGAATTTTGAGCTAGTTCCAGTCCTTTTTCGGCTTGAGAATAAAGCCAGACGAAAAAGCAACAAGAAAATGTGAAAATATAGAGTAGACGTGGAAAAACAGTGCTATTTTGAGTGAAAGGTGACTGATTTGCTAACTCATTTCCCCATTGATACCCATATACACGACTCTACTTCAATTACATGCTAATAAAAGTCACCAACATAAACTTGGCACAGAATAGCATCAGTTCACATTATGACCTCTCAAAAAGAATATAAATTGAGGGGACAAAATAATAATAAAATAACCAAATCCCAGCCTGTCGAAGATTACTGAAAAGTTTCAGAATATGGAAAATAACAAAGATAGAATACACAACATTTTTAAGTTAGCCACCACCAATGATTCTCAACATATCGACAACTCACAGGCAAGCTAAGCTATGCCTCGCTACGTAGTCCAAACCAACGATCAATTACTTTCTGCAATAATGTCCAGTTTTCGTCTGACTCCTTCTAACTGTTTTCTAAACTATGCTTACCTTATCTAGAGCTACCCAGTCTTCACCAACTTCATCCTTGAGTAGAGCCCAGTATCATCAGCTACCACAAAATAAACGTAGCCTAGTGCATTACAAAATTTGCTCCGAATAACTGATTTTTAACTAACTTTGCGGTCGAGAAAGGCCATGCCTAAGTACGCGTAGCCTATGTCATACACACATAAACCAGTGGAGCTGTGTCACTTACATGCCTTAGCCTTAACTAAAATAACGTTTAAGATGTTTTCGCTCCTTTGAGTTCCGAGAGGAACATGGGGTTTCAAGCTTTTGAAGTTTCAGTAGCGGCAGTGTTGCTTTCACGGATAAGGTGGATAATCTTACATCCCATCTTTCCTCTTCTCCAGGTTTACTACCGGCTGGACGGGGTTTGAGAGTGCGTCGGCCAGTAATCGAACCAAGACCTCCTGTCTCGCTGAAGAGTATGCTAGCAGTGAACCAAATATGCAATGAAAGCAATTCACACATGGTAAGTCTCAAGTCTTTCTCTACAAACCTAAAAGATAGATACTAGAAAGATTCAAAAATCAACTTGCACTGAATTAAGCATACAAACATACGCGAATAAACAATCTCCATCATTAGAAAGAAATGACTGCAGATGAACACCACAAGTGACAAAAGGTTGACCGGATCCATTACCATAGGATGTCGATGGTACACTTGAATAACACATTGCCGGCTGGAAACTAGCTGTAGGAAGACGTAAATCAGACCACGATAATCCAGACTTGTTTACTGGAGCAACACTAACCTGTGTTCTACGAACTTCAGTTTCAGTATCGACATCTGCATCCTGCTGTTGCACATTATTCGTATCAAACACAGATGCTAAATAACTATAGAGGCTGTAGCGGAGTTTCGCGATCTGAGTAAAACGTAGGAGAATTGATAAATAATGTATTCGATTTGCATTAGACATATTGGCTGATGAAATTGCTCCGAGAGAAAACGTTTGTGAATTGGATGAATCAACACACGGTAATTTAGGAGCGAAAACATTTATAGTTTCTATAAACCAATTAATTATGATCATAAGTAAATGAGGCTGTTTGATGCTGACCACGTTGTCTCCTAAAAGTAATTTAGTAAATCTAGTATCAGCGAATTCAGTTGGCAACAAAAGCGGACAACCTAAGAGAGCATCGATGGCTGAAAAGAAAATTAGAAAATATAATTGTAAAACAATTAAAACGGATTCGAAATTAGAGAATAACTGATACATACCACTGATTCGCATTTCAGAAAACAATAGATCAACGTTACTTTACAATAGTAATTATTGGCTATGAAAGGATCATTGATAAGCGTAAAAGATCACTTGGGTTTGTTCTAACAATCAGCAAGCATATAAACATGAACAAACGATAGTCAACTAACTGTCAGGTGAAAATAGCCAAGTGTTGGTTTGCAGTGATTTGACTGCATTGATTACAGGATTTCATCATGAACTGACATCGGCTAGAGAACCATACCTGGGAGTACTGGAGTTTTTTCATCCTAGTTTAGGACTCTTCATCAGTACGCACCCACCGTCAAGACTCCAACACAGGACCTTCCAGTTACGAGGCGAGTTTGAACATCATTCAGCCAATGGGACGCGATTCAATGACCAGTCCATGATTTCCAACCTCTGCCAACTCAAGATATGACGCAACCACTAACTAATGTCATCGGCGAGTATCTGTCCTCACACCCGACCCCTAAATGAATTAACTTTAAAAAGAAGTTGAATAACACTGCACTAGACTTTTCACTATCTGTGAATCACTTTCACAGCTAGCACTGCAAGAACAAACAACCAAAGAGGGATAAAACATACGGCTTTATTCAAAATCTCAGTTACTTTATCAGCATATTTTGTCGACTGAATCTAACGAACTTATAGTACTATATATTAGAGAAGAAATCGCACTTGACTGACCAACACACTGATAATTCAAAGCACGGTCAAATATTATGCAAAAGCTTCAAGTGGTTTTGATCAGATATTCTTAAATACATTTCCGTTCACCTATGCTGCAGATATATACCAGACTTCTGACTTTACTTAAATTTCAAGAAAATCGGTCCTTTAACACTTATCAGCCCGAATAATAGTCTCTTTTCACTTTAATGCACCCAGCGATTGGTCGGTATCGATAATTAATTCTGGTGATAAAGATTATGAGGGACCAGATCACTTTCATTTTCTAAATAATCATATCAATTTGACACACTAGTCTTCAAATTGTCTCAACATGTAAAAAATTCACATCCTTCACATGTTAAACCTTAACACGCTCCATACCAGTTCATGACTGGCAACTGGTTAGAGATCATTTGAAACTTGCCGACCCCAGGCTACAATGCGTTCATGACTATGCAATTATCCATTAGGCATATTTAACAACTATCACCATAAAAACTATTATTTAACTATGCATTCATCACACACATTTGTTGAAACGCTTCCGAAAATTTCAGGAAGTAATTATTCACAAAAGAATCAACAGTGGTCGATAACTAGGCAACTAGCGTCTACTGAGTAGACTAATTCTCAAATATATTCTGATATCAAAAAATGACTGTTTGAGTTATCAATATGAACTCTGTACAAAAACACACTAGATCTAGCATACATAGATGTAGAGAGCAGTCGCAACAAAACAACAATAAACGAGAATGCTAGAGAGAAAGAATCATATGAGAACTAGTAAGGACTAGCAGAATCAGGGAGATCATGTCTAGTTCTGAAAGATCTCACCGAAAGTCTCAAACCGCTGACTCCTAGTATCACGACTACTCCAAATATACAATCTACACCTCCCTAAGTCACTCTAACTAATAAAAACTGCATGGATTCATGCAATGTTTTCGTCTCACCACCCGTAACTCATTTCAGTTGATACTGCTCTTCAATATGACTAATACACTGCCCTTACACATTTCCATAGAGGAAGATTCACAATATCATCAACCGACTGACTTCCACCACTTACCTGACACTCCACTTTAACCAAACATTGCTCCACAAAACACGACGGACTAAAAGAAGATACCTGAGATCAAATCCCTTCATATCTCCTGCCCTCAGCAGAAAGGTTTCATAGCAGTAAAGAAAGACGGCGAGAATTGATGCACAGTACATAAGCCGTTTGATATATAGTAGGATATCACACCTGCGCTGAAGATAACGCGACTTGGTAAACATCAAATGAGACCTTCATATCCATGCTGAGATTTCGTCAGCAATCAGTTGATTAGCCCAGATGCAATTACTCAAATACACTCAATCATTGCATCTCTTCTCTTACAGATAGGGGTCGGTGAAGACCAATCCTGCAGCATATTACATTTGACAGGGGAAAATCACATGCTAACCATCTCTGAACTAGGTGCTTTGCAGAAGACACTGTATTTTGTTAGTATTTCCACCTACAACTTAGTTTTGGTCCGAAATGAACATGGCTTCTGATTTTATACATTTTCACAAATGCTACCTCGACAGCAGATCCATGCAAATCATTGTTAGAATTTCACTCGAAAAGGGTTACTTGTCTTCAGTTGTGGGAATAACACACTGCATTGCTACATTTCTAGGGTATTTTTATACGGAAATAAACATATACAAATAAAAATCTGTTATAAAAAATTAACTCCTTGAAATGTAGCATTGAATAATAATAATAATAATAATAATCAGCTTACTATTTAGATTTCCATCATGCTGAACAGCTTCAGAAATTGCTAGCAAATTCAAATAAGCAGGCAATAATAGAGGATTTGCAACACGGTTTGATTTTCGCCCTGAAGAATTCCCACCATTTAGCGAATGCGAGTCAGCTGATAAGTATTTGTTCCACGTAGGTCCAAGTGCAATTGCAATTTCGCAAAGACGAGGATTATGTAGTGAGAACTGGGTTGTAAAGTTTTCTGTAGAAGCATTGTCCAACACAAAATCATCCTTTAAACAAAATATGAACAAAATTGGAAAATTATTATGAGTTACTCATTTTGAAGGGCTACATCACTAAAAGTTAAAGGTAATTTACAAAGTCTTTGGTAGATGACAGGAATAATACATCCTGATGTGACAAAAATTGATACCTCTCATTGTGCTCTTATGTCACCCACTCAAAATAAATGGACGAAAATTACTTATGCCAACCAGCTGTTCCACAGACAAACTCCCGCAGCAATCCGTTGAAAAATACCTTTCATTTGTCAAACCAAAAGCTGTTTCGACCGCGCTTACCCGAGGACCATGTCAAACTGGCACCCTGTATAGTTTACGTCGGTGTCGCAAGAAGTCCTACAGCCGAAACAAATATCGCAGTACTAACAGATATACTGAGTTGAGTCAGATCTGATGATAAGTATCGCCTTCTCCTTCTCCGCATCAATCTCTGTCTGTTTTCTAGAGATCAACTTCTGGTGCAGCCATCGCTATTTCAATACCTGACTTTCTCTTGTGTCACACAAGTCTGAACTCGAATGGATTAAATTCTAATCAATTACGGGTGTTATAGGTGTATACAGAACCCCCCATTTTGAAGTACTTATCTGACTTTGATCATACTAATGTATGCTTGGTCTCACCTATAGTTTGGTGTTCGTCATAGTTGTCCTCCTAACAAATGGATATCTGAGCAAAGTAGCTGCAACCAGTGCAGTTGAATACTAAGCCACGCTAACTCCGACGGTAACTACTGATTCTCTGCAGATCGAAGACGAAAAACACGAAGAACATGTGAGACATCGTGAAATAACTTATGGTCTAAAAAGCTTCCATTAGATAAACGCCAGCTCACAGAATGGCATAAGGTTAAAATGATCACAGTGGTACTACGCCCAGTTGTCAAGTGAAGTAGGCGCGAAAACCAAGTTCAAGAATTCTCACTAACATCAAATTACAGAGCAACGACACAGAAAGGACTAGTTAGTTAACTCGAACATCTAGTCAACAGACGTCATTCAATTTACACTGGGTAGTTAGATTGATCACTTGGGCGTATCGTGGGGTTGGGATCACCTACATTACAGAAGACGCTAATACCCATTGTTATCCGTATACATCACGATAAGTCAGCAAGATTATCTACACTAATAATCACATAGAAGTGAAGTGAGAGCAGTATAAGTTGTTTATTCAATTTCTGGTATTTTTTGTCATATGGATACTTATAACAGATATGATGATACGCAACCTGAATACCGCTCATTGCCTTCACGTTACAAATGACATCAGCATTTAGAAAAACCGAATTCTCTAAACACAATCCCTTAGAACTATTTGCGAACATTTACCGACATGGACACAGTGTAGCACGCTTCTACAAAATAACATGCAAACCTATACAACCAATGAAATAAACAACCTAACCAAAGCCGAATGTAAGAAATGCAACAAAAATCAGGACAATTAGAGAAAAGAGAAACAAACCTGAAAATCGCGCATGACTCGAGTACCCATCCAAACGATAAAATTCTTCGCCTCTTCGGAAAACTGTAACACACTTGGTGAGGTACTATCCAGAACAAACTGAATCGCCTTATTTTTACCACTAAACTGTGTTATTCGATTAAAACAGAATGCCAGTTCATCCAGCCAGAAAACTGTCAACTGAAATTGCGAATGGATTGCATGCTCGACCAATCCCACCAATTGTAACAAAAGACGAGTAGGTGGAGTTGCAAATTGTGGACGGTGAGTTGAAATGTCAGTGGTTCTATCTTCTTCACTGTCACCAGCCAGTAAATTGATTTCATTAGGATCATCAGCAAACCCTGTTCCTGGACCTTTTAAACTCAAAGAACTAGCATTACTGCTTCGACTAACATTTGCAGAGAACGTACTACTCTGATCATTATCGATGTGAGCCAGCTGGGAAGCTAGTAAAATGTACTATAAAAATAAGAAAAGTGAAACATTTGCTAACGTGATTTACAACAGAACAGTAGAAAGAGATAAAGCAATACATTCGGATCAGTCAAATCTTAAGAGGTCAACGAACAGCGAACACAACGTGGAACACTAAGCGTTTGAATTTAATTTACTACAGTGAACAGAAGGGAAATAACATACTAACCCCAAAAAGTGCAAGTTAGATATTAAAGAGATGTTTCGTAGGGATGTCATCATCAAATAGTCTGTTAGCGAAACACGTCAAATCCAAAATGAAAATACTCCGTTCTATTCAAAGCATTTGATAGGACATTCACCTTGCCAGCAAGAAAACGTTTAGTCACCTGAAGGCTGAAAGGTACTCATGTAGATGAGAATTAATGCATTGGGGTTTTGAGAAAGGTAGGTCCCCTTGAAAACCAATTTATATTTACCTAAACAATGGGCGTATTATTTCTGTTAATACATTTTAGGGTCTCCCCTCGAAACTCTGTTTTAGCAGCCTTTATAGCTCCCACCAGGTCCATGGTGTTTAATTCCATCGCCTGAAAGGAGACTCCAACTGACCACAACGCTGCGCAGACGAACAAAATGAGTTCAACGTAGAGCGGTGGAAAACCCTCGTTCGAAATCTATGGTGTACATAGGTGCCAGGGGTCAAAAGGATTGAGTGATTTCTTACATTGTCGCTGTTATTCTCTAATGTGTACACTACTCTGTTTCATTTCCATCAACTTTGCTTTTTGTAGTATCTTTACTCTCGTCAGTCATTAGGTATTGTTCGAAATTTCAATCTATGCGTATTGTTTTGAGTTGCTAATCAGTTACCTTCAGGCAGTAAATCCGAAAACAAGCAGGTCTGGCTAGAACACTGAAAAGCTTTGCTGTTTGTGTATGCTTCGTGCACATAAAATACCAGCGAAATGATCCCAGTAACTTCTCTATCCGTCAGCCAAAATAGTATGATTCCTGTGTTTAACTAGATATCCTAAAACATCAACAACCACCACCTTACGTTAGAACTTAGTTACCGGAATCAGATTTCCAATGTGCAACACACTTTCTCTACATTTATTGTGAGGACTGGTAAGAATACTCGGTTCTTCAGGCTGCAGTAGGTGAAACTGAAATCGAACATGAGATCCATGAACTCAGAAGCTTAAGCCAACGACTTTCGTCTGCCACACCAAGCTATTTTGACTGCCACTGACCTCCAGCAGGACTATAACAACTACAGTGATTGGTTTCTGAGGTTATGCTTTCCAGTCTTTCCTGTACAGATACAGAGAATTGGACTTAAAAACGGTGAATTTAATTATAATGGCTATAAATCATTAGAGATTAATTTCGAAACGATAAGAACAAGAGAAATACAGACATACATCATCTTCATCTTCAGGACAGGCAGTATTTAAGGGGCATTCTTCATTTCTTGATGAATTATCACGCCTGCAAATTACCTCGATAAGCACAACTGCACCAATTATGCCAACACATTTGGAAAATAATGATTCGCTTGAAAGCAGTTTGCGGATGAATGACAACAGATCGTCTTGCTGCTTCCGATGTTCTTTGCTTCTAATGAGAAATTATGAAATAGTCAAAAGTGAGTGTGCGTCCAAATACAAAAGTGCTATCTCACGCATTAAACACCTTTGACTGAAAAAAAAGATTCTAGCTTGACCCGAAATCAATGCCAACGACTAATCACAGCTTCGTTACTAGTTACACATTAAGTCAGCCATATAGTTATGTCAGTACACCCAAAACATCTAATACCTAATTGAAGTAACACTTCACTCAATGTCAGAAAATCAGTACACAAGACTTCAATTTAAATACGTGCCCAAAAACACTTACCTTCCCCTGGAAAATATTGTCTACTAAGAAGCACCTCGGAAACAAACAGCAGTATCCTCAGAGAGACAATCGAACTCATACAACTAGTGCATGTCAACTAGAAGGACTGTTGTTTGAAGTCCTACGATATCAGAAACCTCAGTTGGATAGTTGTAGAAATACACGCTGTTAGCCATATAAGACAAGATGAATTATGCTACAATGTAAGTTCTACAGAAGTGTCATGTATTCGGTGATATCCATCAAGTAACATGTATATTATGTCTAAGTTAGCTCCATTCAAATTTCCGGAAGTGAGACGTGTGTTGAGCCAACCGGTGCACAGAACATACGCCGTTTGGCGTAAATCAGAATATCACCATCGGTCAGGAAAAGACATGCAACAAGAAAATCTGACAGCGAACTACCTAACAGCGTTTTACACACCAAATATGCAAAACAAAATCATTTGAACATACACTGACGAGATCGTTGAATGGGACCCAAATAGGGGTGCAGCCGGTTCGGCGTCCGATGGTGAAATGGGGAAGACCATGTACGGAAAAAGATGAAATTTAACAGCAGTCATCAGGTCAGATGAAAATGACAACAAAGAACAAAGTGAAATGAAGACGTGCTGCTTAAGCTCCTTGTTCCACTTTGAATGCGAGGTATGAATATTAATAATAATACCGGTCACGTCAGCAAAATAATGCCGAAGCGTAAAACCACTGTCTCAGCCATTCATAAAACTTCGTTAACAGACTGTGTTCATACAACATCAAGGTTCAGCATAAATCAAAGCGTTAACAGAAACAAAAGCATGACTATAAAACCTTATAATAAAAATGTAATATCCAATTCGCGAAAGGTAACCCAAGTACCTTCTATATAATGAAGAAAAAATTCACTACTAGCAAGTCTGTGGAGGAGAATTAGGTATTTTTCTCTCCAAAACACCAAATACTTGCACCACAGGCTCATATTGGCAGATGAAGTTTCACAAAATTCATACAGCCAGCATGAAGTAGTATTTACACTCTGTGAAGGCGTTAAAAACTGCGTAAAACAGACCAAGGAATAGTTAGGCATACACGGTCTGGTCTGTGTGCAACAACTCAGGAGTTGTCAACAATATGCTTTACTTTTGAAGTACGCCCACATACTGTCGAGTTTCGATCCCACTGTCGGCACCGACCACGGTACTCTTGACGATGCACCAACAAAGTCAGGCTAGATGATGGCGAAAAGTCATCACCAGTGGTCTCATCTGAAGAAAGATTTCATAGTTCTTTGATTCCTGTTGAATTCACCGACTTTGTAAGGCCTCACACAAATATAATAAGGTACATCTAGGACCTTTTATAACTATATGATTCCTAAAAAAATTTTTACTTGGCCTCAGTAACATTTAGTCGTGGTTGACCACTTCACTTAAGGGTGAGAGGCAATCGATAATGTCTCGAACTGTTGCCATAACCATTTCACAAGCAAAAATCAACCAATGGATTAGCCTCTGTGGTGCCCTACTTCAGCTGCATACTGACTGAGAGTCAAACTTTCGAAGTATCCCGCTCGTAAGATTTCGAAGTATTGTTGTCAACGGACTCTGCTGCATATTAGGGATTCAGAAAACATACTACAGTGAAGAATACGAAGAGTAATGGCCTGGTTGGACGCGCTAATCGGACGTCTAACACACCTCTCAGGGTATTCATAGATCAAAAGAATCCTAGGAAATCAGCCAATTATCATTTCCAGTGTTTAGTAGCATACACAGAAAACATCCACAGAGTTAGATATCAGCGTGTGATTACTGGTCAAGAACTCCGGTGAATATTGGACGTCACTTGAGGCACACTCAGTGAAGTAGCACTGATGGTGTCAAAACATGTGGTCAGAAGGTGATGGGACTTGAACGAAGTGCATCAAATGGACCATGAATGTGCTCCAATTTCAGCAGACATACTATGATTTCATAGGTGGATGAACTACCGCAGTGCTGATCACCAGTCTCTAAGATAAACTTTAGGGTGTTATTTCAATACATATTTTTAGACTAAGTATCTATGCATAAGTCGAAACTGCAGTGAAGTTTTTTGCTGCCTCCAATCTCAAAAGTGTTTCTTACGTGTGCCTGGCTCCAAAATTTTATTTCGAATTTCGCAAGTGATCCAATATAGTACATAAGAATTTACCAGACTTTTGATTGTGACGCTAAGCACCATGAATTGACTGTCAAGTTAAAACATGACGTCAATCCGTGAAGTCTGCGAGTGCCGATTTGAGCCATACTGGGAGCTGGAAATTAGGATCTTTGAGGAGTTAAGATCCGATGATTCAGGACAGTTGGTGACAGCTTAAAATACTCCTTGGTAAAGCAGATGCATTCACTCTGTCATCTCCCAGATTCATTAAATTCTGATAATTCTCCACATACTTACTCTCATACATTTCTGTTTACTTGCATGTTTTTTCTACCTTCGTGCATGCTTTGCGAAGTTTTGTAACTTGAACTGCTGCGTTTCTGTTTAAAGTTCAAAAACTTTCCGCTTAAAATTCACCTCAGATCCGGCTGGCCTTCGGCGTCAGCATTCAATATTGTAGACAACAGTTGGTCCATGGCTAGTTAAAACCCATCAATTTAGCGAAACGGGGATCCAAAAGAAACTCCAAGAACTCAACCACCATAAAGCCCTTGACCTAATGAATACACCTACACCTAAGAAGTTGTGAAGACGATGGTGAAACTTGAATGAGGGAATCAACCTGCCCATGAAATGGCACCTCGACATAGACAGTTGTCTCTCATTACCATATGTTACTGCATTACGATTTCAGGGTGTTGCACGAAGAACCATCCAAATTAGTTTCTCGACATAGCTGAGAATCGAAATCAATGCCTAACATACCACAATATCCACCTTTGTCTCTTCTTGAAAGTAATACGCTCCTTTCCATTCTCTTGATAAGCATGCTTACCTGTTTCCATGAATCTGTCCCTCATTTATTTCATTTCTCTATGTTGTTGCGTAATTTTCTGATGGTTTATCTCTTGATGCCTATATTGCACCAAATTCGTGTTTCAAATAACAACAAAATAAAGTCGTAATGCATCTGTCACCAAGCAAAGTATGGCAATCGTTTCATTGGTAAACAAATAAGTTACATTGCGGAAGTTGACGGGGTCTATTTCTCGAGACAATCAAAAGTATCTTTCAGATTATCAATGCAAAATTATTTGAAAGTGAAAATTTAATGTCTTCTTAAAAGTTATCGATTCCTCAAATGGGTAGTAAGCTAAACAAAACAGAATATTTCAAAATTAAAATTCATTGTTTTTAAAAAAAGACATGTAACCCACCCAAATGCTACACAAGCAAGTATAGAAAATATATGCCTTATGTACTGCTTGTCATTTAAAATTCCTGACTGATAACCATGAAGCATACGCGAATGTTGAAAACGAGTTTCACCTGAATCACAAGACGCCCCTGAAAAATCAATTTGGTTCTGGAGAGTACGTAGATTTGCCTCGTACACTCCCAATTCCCGAGCGTTCGATTGAGCTAAACGTAATATCGTTATCAGAATAGCTTTCATGATAGCTTCCATGTGAAAACGATTGGCGCTTCTTATCAACAAGCTATTGATACCTGTCAAATAATGATGTATAAGGTTGCTTATGATTTCCTGTCTCAGAGAGTAGTCACTCTTGGAACTGTTGAAAACTTTCATGTACAAACATAAGCCAATATACCTGGTTAGATATTTGAAACGAGTAGCAACACAACTTCCTGACATGATAAGTTGGTTTAGAATAAATGAAAATGATGAGAACAAACGAGTATCTCCAGAAATTAGAAGCTCGCCATAATCCGCTAAAAACGTATCGATATCACAATGCATGCTACCAAATGAAAACAGCTTCCCAGCTATTAAAAGACGACGCACATTAGAAATAATTTCATTTCGCAAGCGCTTGTTGTGATAAGAATCGGGATTGTAAACTCTTTTGAATAAAGATCCATCCGAAACTGCTTTTATGTTACCCTTTTCGGAAGCTGATATTGATGGTATGCTTACAGATATGCAAAGAACAATAAAGTCTTGTACAAATTGGTTGTGACCATCAACCACACTTTGACACAAGGAATCTGGCATGGAGTTAGGTAAGCCAATTATACGCACCCATCTGTAACAAAAAAACATATGACTTGAAAAGAATTTGCAACTAGAAATGACGCAAATTATCGGAATCTTTATCGGAGATGCATCGAAATGATCCACGCTTCCTGCCGAGTGAAATATGTGGACAGACATGAAAAAAAATTATTTGTATTACCGTATCATCAAGAAATTGGTACCGGTGTGTCTTGAGACAAAGACAAAACATCTACCCTTAATACACCATTTCAACGATTTCGAAGCCAATTGGCTAGAGCTATTTCTTCAAGCTGTGACTAAAGTTAAGATTATGCTAAAGCTTGAGAAGTTTCCTTATTTTTCCGTTACAATTTTCTTCTCGTATCATTGGAATTCTGCGATGTGTCTCACAGAAGACATTTCGTGTCCTAATTTAATTATTTTGTCGTAAAAACATCTTTGCTGAACTGCTTCTTCTTCTCTCTTCAATTATTTCTTTCTCACTCAGCCTTATCCCAAGTGTCTGTAGAACCAATGCCACCGCATACCTGCCTTAAAAACTGAATAGAGATCACCACCATATCATCATTTCTACAAATATATTGAATTTATCATTACCAGCAAAGTCATATCAGATAAAATGTCATAGCAGTATTGACATTTTGTGACTGACCCACCTATGAATCGACTTAGAATATTCCTCAACAGTACAGATGCTTCAAAAATCACAAAGGAAACAGAAACATAAGGAAGTTAAAACAGATGAATATTAGTGTGAATACGGAAACAACAAAACGAAGATTAGTGCAGATCTTCAGAATGTCGACGAATGCATTAGCGCCACCGTCAACCATTTTTAGACATCTCATAAATAATCCTCAACGACTAATCCTTAGCATTTTGAACATGATCGAGCCACTGGATCCTCTTCCCTTCTAGTCCTGAAAAGTTGCTTTACGTGGAGAGATCGAAACTCTACAACCAATATTCCAAGGAGTCTTGCTATGAGCCACACTAAACGAATAAGGGCTAACGGTACTCACCCAGTTGCCCAGGTTGAAACAGAATCTGAGACCTATTGAGCAGAAGCCTTTGGGATTACTTTGTTTGGATGAGACAATACACTATTACTACTACTGATTGATTGGGATGAGTAGTTGTATAACACTGACATGAACCAGTAGTACTTCCTTGCCAGATCGAAATGATCCAAACTACTGATTGATGTGAGACGTATACAACTACTCATCTCGATTAATCAGTGGTACATGGTTTCATATAGTTATGCTTAGTTTCTTGATTACCACTTACGGTATCAAGCAGACCACATTGTGATCTGAGTAATCTCGGCTTTCAAAGAAATTATATTATTATTATTATCGTTTCCTTTAGTTCCAAGAGGAACATAGGGCTTCAGCCGCACGTCTCTACTGCACTCGGTTCTCTGCAAACGTTTTTACCCGGCTCCACATGCTTACATCACCTGCTCACACGACTTCCTCCATGTCACCGTCGCACAGACGACCATTCCGGTTCCCCTCGAATTATGGCCTGGCGTGTAAAGTCATTTGATGGTTTGTTTTCTTAGAGTACGGCCAGTCCAATCCAACTTCACTTCTTCCTGAATATTTGTTGCAAAATCGGTTCCTACTTGGTCCGCTCCACCGTCCATCTGATCTTGAGTATTGAATGAAGAGACATCTGTTGCTGAAGATTTGTAGTTTCTTCAAGGTGCCCTTCGTGAGGCCACGTCTTTGATTCGTGTAGTAACACTGGCTTCACATTGGAGTTGAAAATCTACATCTTATTTTTCATGCTGAGTGCTGTTTATCTCCGCACAGACTTGAGAGAAATGAAAGCTTTCCTGGCTTTCCAGATCCTCGCTTTGATATCCTCGTCAGTTCCACCTGTGGTTGGAACGATGCAGGTAAAGGAGGTTGCTTCTTCCAGATTTCTACCATTTATGCTGATCGCTGTCATTTGTTGGTGTTGTTGTTGTTGCTACTGACCACGAATCTTCATCACCTCTGCGTTCTCTATGTTCACCTGAAGGCCTATCTTCTCTGGATGCTTCTTCTGCCAACTTGTTGCTTTTCACTTGCATATCTTACAGTTTGTCGGAAATCAGACATATATCATCGGCGAAGTCCAGATCCTTTAAGTATTTTGTGTGGGTCCATTTTAGGCCTGTTTCCTCGCTGCCCGTTGTCTGTCGCATTATTCAGTCCAACGCAATCAGGAAAATAATTGGCGATAATAGACAGCCTTACCTCACTCCCGTCCTCACTTCAAAAGTTCTGTAAGTTTCCCGTTGTGGATTACTTGGCATGCAGCATTGTCGTATAACTGTTGGATGAGATGTATAATTTTCGATGGGACTCCGTAGTAGCGAAGTAGTTGCCAAATGACCTATCGATCGACGCTGTCGAAGGCCTCCCCAAAGTCAATGAAATTGAGATAGAGAGGTGACTGCCATTCCAAGCTTTGTTCAATGATGATCCGTAGAGTGGCGATTTGATCAATACATGACTTGTTTCTCTTGAATCCAACTTATTCCGGTCGAAGTTTTCCATCTAGGGCTTGTTTGATGATGATGCGGCTTAGTATTTTTCTTCGGATGGACAGGAGCATAATTCCACGCCAGTTTTTGCATTGACTTGAGTTTTCTTTCTTTGACAGTTTGAATAAGTATTCTTTCTTCTAATCCTCGGGTATTTTGCCCTCTTTCCACAAACGTCCAGTAATGGCGTCCGCTGTTGTCTCTGGGTCTATTTTCAAAGCTCCTGCTGGGATTCCATCTGGTCCTGCTGCTTTTCCGGCTTTTAGCATCTTGATTGCCTTCAATATTTGTGTTCTCGTCGGAGGATTGATGTTCACTGGTAGTTTTGCTTCCGCTGTTGGTATTATTAGGCGCGTTGTAGGTGGCGGTCGATTCAGAAGTCTTCTGAAGTGCTCAGCTCACTCTTTCCTTTGCTCCACTTCCTCGGTGATTGACTTTCCATTGTCATCCTTCACTGGCTTAATCTGTGTTGAACTTTTCCCGGATAGGAGCCTAGTTGTTTGGTAGAGTGTTGTGAGGTCCCCTTCGCCTGCAGCTTGTTCTGCTTCAATTGCCATGTCTTTATAAGATTCTCTTTTGTCTTCCCTAGCACTTTTCTCTACTCTTTTGTTCAGTGTATTGTAGCTTGCATTCAGCTCCTGTTTTTTTTGCTCGTCGATGCACTGGATAAGCATTTGTTTCATCACCCTTCTCTCTTCTTTTAGTCTCCAAGTGTCCGTAGTGAGCCACTGGTTGTCCTGTCTCTTCTTTCTGCCCACTACTTCCATGCAGGTTTGACTCCACACCGCTTTCACAATGTTCCAGTGCATTCCAACACTGGTGTCTCCGCCTTTTTCCTTATGATTGCAGTGAAGATATCCTTTGTACCCTGATTTTTCGGTTTTTGAATATTGAACTTGGCCTGTGGTCTACCTGCAGCTCCTGTTTCTTTGAAAGTGAATTTCACGTTACGAACTTTGACTGATATATGCCTTAAAACTGCAGTCTTCGGTAGTTTTGCTAGATCACACTTGTATCATGATACTTCCCACTTGGAAAATCTCTACGTATAATCGTAATACTTAAGAAAATGAATTTACTAATTATGAGCAAAGTGCATACGTTATTTACAGATAATGATCACTAACTAGTTGTGTTTTGAATAGCCTGTATGTTATCCCACAGACGTGGTATCACTTGCATAGTAGAGGCCAGAAAGTCTTTATCCGGGCGTCAGACCAACACTAACACGCACATCTTTCAAAGATGTCTCCACAATGTCATCAACGGCAAAACTAAAGAAAAGCAGTCAAATTCAGCAATCCCACCGTCGCTTGTATACCCTAACTCTACCTAATGTGTTCTGTATAGAGCTTTCAGGTTGTTAACAAACCTTTCAGGAACACATCTCTCTAGCAAACGATTGCAGAGGAATTGACGGTACGACTAATATCAAGAACTACAACGCCTGCATAATATATTTGATCAACTGACAAAAGATGAACACGTGATTGATGCATTCACTACCTATGCTAAATAAAGCCTGCTTTACGGGAATTTATTTCCCAAGTGCTATACGCAATCTGCAGGGTAAGACAGTAGCCGATATTCCAGATGAAACCCTTATGATTGTTACCAATGGTTATAACTTTTCCGAAACAAAAATTCATACTAACTTCTGGACTTACTCGGACAATACACTGCGATTTAACTGAAATGCGACTCGCAAAACGTCAACAAGAGAGGAATTAATTGAAACTGCCGAATTGATTGAATTCGATTTGGCGAAACTAAAGACAGAACGTAGGCGTGATACAAGTTTGGATAATTCAATTGGTGATTGTGGTACAGCTGGTCCATTAATCAAAAGACAACGAGTTATAACAGGAAGATAATAGAAGTAGGAGTCAAGTCCAATACATCGATCGAGAAGATTAAACAACGCAATATAGAGCCGATCTTTTAGCTCTCCTTGTACAAAAAAGTATGTCAAGCATTCAATAAGGCAAACAACAGGATCAGAATCTTTTGTCGAATCACAATGATTTTCAAGACATATCGAGTCGACGAGATTGACAAGTTGCAAAACAAGTAAAGATCTATCTTCATCGCTGAGAATCCATCCGGATGAGGAAGATGAGGACGCGAGATCAGGAAGAATTCTTAGAATTTTTATTCGAATCCGTGGTTCTTCAATAATTTGAAATACTTCTAAGAGACGTGTAGATACGTCTGAGAAGACTTGTTTGCAGCTAAATAATGAACTAAGACCCACAGGTTGTTGAAACTGTTCAAGAAGTTGCTCTGAATACAGTGACTGATTAGAAACCAACTCCAGTACTAATTTTGTTATGTCAGAAGATAGGCAAGGAGTGAACAGAAGTATCTGAAACACTGTTGCTGGAGATCCAAACAACACTAAAACATCATCAGCGGGGGTGTCAACTTCAGAATCAGATGCATTCGTACGCAAAGGACATAATAAACTAGAAAATGTCAACAAACTACTTGAGACACTTCTATTTGAAACTACTGCTAGTTGACGCAGTTCTTGTACTAACTTCTCACGTAACAACTGTTGGGATTTGAGATAACCCTCCAAATAACGACATCGCTTTTGGGCAGAATGTGCTACAGATACTAGAACTAGACATGTGATCATCATTAGATAAGAAAGGCATTTTGGCAAAGAAAAAATGTCCTGTGCTCTGACAACTAATTCCAATCTTTTGCAGAATATTCTGTAGAGATGGGACTGGTTCTACGAAGGAGACAGCCAGAGCACTTGTTGACAACCAGTCGCCATCTTCATTTGCAGAATCACTCGAAAAGTCTTTATATTCCGAAACCTTGGATCTTGACGGTATCATTCAGTGGAATTTGATGTGTAAAAAAACCTGTGGTGAACAAAGAAAAAAATAGCAACTGAGAGAAACAAAATATTATGTGGGAACCAAGATGGTGCACACAAACACCGAAATATCACAGTTTTAACAAGGTGTGACGTATGACACCTGAAAAAAAACCATAATCTCTCATCTTCTACTCACACGCTTTCCTCTATGTCACCCTCGGACAACCCACTCGTAGAGTGCCATTGGGATTCCACTCCAGTGACGGCCTGGTACAAGATATAATTTGACGGCCTCCTTAATGTATCCCCATTTTCTCCTATGTATTATTACGCCAGTGAATGGCATAATGTAATTGCCCGCGAAAAGCCAGACAAAGATACCGTGAAAGCCATTGTCCACGAAAGACGGAAAGGCGCTCACCACAGAGCAAGAAAACCATCCAAAGCAAACCTGATCTCCCCGACAGGTCGCTTATTCTCCACAAATTCGGAGAATCATTGGCTTCGGATCCTAAGATCATGCTTGAAAATGACTTCAGCCTGGTCAAACCAATCTTAGAGAAGTTACTGCCAACAACAGTATCCGGTGTAACTATCCACAGCTTGGAAAGAATCGGCCAAAAAGCTGACTCAACAGTAGATTAGCCGGTATGCCTTCTCAAAGTCATACTGAATTCAGAAACAGAGAAGGATGATATACTAAGCAACTCTCAAAGTCTTAAAGGACCAGGCATACAAGTCTGTGATGACTTACGCCTACAACACCGCATCAAAAGACAGTCTGAGGCTTTATAATTGAGCGAACGGCGCCAAAACGGCGAGAAAAGCCTTACGACTAAGGATTTTCGAGTTGTCACATTTCGAATTCTGATGATCACAAGACCTCTGTAGGTCGAGTGTGGAAGCACCAATATGAGCTAACGGTTGGCTAAACCAATGCCACCAGTCTATTGAACAAATGGTAGACCCCGGAAATCCAGTCACCATTACAGAAACGTGGCCTACATCTAATATCAGAGGCAACGAAGCTAACCTCCCATACTTTACAGTGCATAGACCAAACCGACTAGGCCGTAAAATAGAGGCATAGTCATCTGCTCCAAAAAAATACCTAACGAAAGTAGAACATGCGGATTTCTACGCTGCAGACTTGAATGCACAACATAAGATATCGACCTCATTGCTACGTACTGCAGTCGCGATTGCAATATAGACGACTTTCTACTGGAGATACTAGGTTCACAGATATCCAGATGCCGCAGTCTCGTAGTCAGCTACTTCAACGCCCTACACGACATCATATTTAACTCTCTTTAAAGAAACTAGATGCACGGAAGCCAATTAGACCTGATAACCTCTATCCAAGGTCTCTCAAAGAGCTATCAGCTCATACAACTCACCTACTGACTACAATCTCCAAGCTATCTCTCCTGAATGGACGTCACCTCGTGACTGGAGAGACGCTATTGTAACTCTCATCCACAGAGTAGGATCGAGACAATATCATTCGAAACCACAGACTTATTATTATCACCAGCACCTTAATCGAGATACTGGAAAGAATCATCAAGCAAGTTACTGTGGTTTATCTGGAAAACAACCATTTGTTGTCTAAAGCATAGCACGGCATCCGAGGAAATCTCTTATGCTTACTGAACCTTCCTATGGCAAGAGAGAGCTAAGTCAGGTCAAGGGACAACGGGAGATCCTTTGACTTCGAGTCGGTGGACTTAAGTAAAGCCTTCGTTAAAGTACTTCAGGGGAGATCGCTCACGAAATAGGAGTCTTGGAATAAAAGGCGGCTGACTAAACTGGATTAGGGACTCCTCATAGGTAGGAGACAGAGCTAGGATAGACTCAACTCGCCTCCTGAACAATAGTACGTAGGGGAGTGCCACAAAGCACTACACTAGGACCCCTCTCATTTGTTTTGCATATCACTGAGTTATCTCTGCTCACCAATTCCCATATGGTCCCATACGCAGATAACTAAGATTTGAAAGGAGCTGAAGGGCGACAATGAAACGCTCACGTCGCTATGAAACCAACAAATTGTTAGAGTGGTCTACAGAGTGGATTCTCCTGATCAACGTTGTGCAATGCGAAACCATAGGCAATGGGCACGCAGGCGTCACCTACAAGGAACTAGAGAAAGTAACACTCCCACCATTTCAGACTCATTTGGATTTAGGTATCATAGTAAGCCACGGCTTAGAAACTACAGCACATCGTCGAGTGGTGGCTGCAAGTGGATTCAGATCCGCATGGGAAATTCGCAGTCTTTACCAGAATCACCAGAGGTATGTCCTCATCCTTATATATATCTCTGGTGAGGTCAAGACTGGAGAACTGTATCTTGGCAGCTAGTCCTTGTGCTAGAGGGGACTCACATACTCTAGAGAGGGTTCAAAGGAATGCAACACGTATGATTCTCCACATAACTAATTTATCCTACGAGGAAAGACTAAACAGTTTAAATATCCTCTCCCTGTCATACCGTAGGCAGAGAGATCTCATCATCTCATATAATGACTGTGGACCTAACCCATTTCTCTTTTTCTTACCACCAGGTCTGAACACCTCAGAGGACATAACAAGAGTTCAAAAGCCAAGGATAAACTATATTGACGTAGAATACTGGTTTCCACACCAAGTCATCAACTCCTGGAACAGAATACCAGAGGAAGTGGTGTCAGCACCCTCGACTGAATCACTCAAGAAGGGTCTGCACGCACAGAAAATTACTGCAGAGGTAATAACATAGGCTTCAAGCCTTATTTTCAATTAACAAGTTTGAATCTACACCACTATCGTCCAAATAACTTAATTAAAGTATCCAGATACCGTGTATACCTCTATTGTCAACTTCTTGCTTCTTGGCAGTTTGATACATGTTACATAAGGAATGAAATATGGTGACTCTAAAGAATAGCGGCCCAAATCGAAACGACCTTCGAACAGAAAAGTGACCTTGAGCAAGGAATCAGCTGACTGTATCATTTGCGGAAGTAATCATGGATGTTTTCGATTACTGTTTGGATAACGGACTGATAGCTTTGTCGAAAATTTGCCAATGCGGAGTTATGCATATACAAAAATACACAGAGGCCATTGATGGCTTTGTATGCAGATGTATTGAGCGCCGAAAGAGGAAATCGGTTCGAGAAGGTTTGTCGTTGTTTTTTTATTTACAGATCCCTTAGGAATTTTTCTCTCAAGGTCTAAACTACCTTTGACGAAAATTTTAATGATCTGTAACTTCTGGGTCCTGAAAAGAGCAGTCACAGCTACAGCTTATGAAACAGAAAATTCAAAGGTGTCAGCAGTGCAATGGTACAACTACTGCAGAGATGTTTCCTCCTAGAAAATGAACACCCTGACTCAAGTTCTCGGAGGAGTCGGCAGCATAGTCCATCTACGACACGACACTGCGCAAAGTATATATAGAAGCGATTCCCAATCGCAGTGCAGCAGTATTAGTGCCTATTAATAAGCGTTTGGTGTTGCCGGGGTCGACTATTCATAGAGATGAATGGAGAGGATACCGTCAATTATCGAATCATGGGTACATTCATCATGTTGTTAATCATACGGACGGTTTCCGGAATCCTTTGGATAGAACCCACACCAGTTCCATTGAAAGTTGTTGGAGTCGTCTAAAAAGATGTATAAGAGCGGTTAATGGATCGAGAAATCCCATGATTTACAGTTACCTGGATGAATTTATGTACCGAAACTGCTTTCATATGACTATGAAGACTCACATGAGAAACTAGGTTTTCTTGGAACATATACGCGAACGCCATCCTTTGTAACTGTTTATTATGATTGCACTACTTTTATATAAACCGTTTTTTACAATTATGCGCCTTTCTTTTTGAGCCTTCTCATTAGCCGAAGTTGTTCCTGTCAAGGACATTTTTGCGTTAAAAGGTCGTTTCGGTTTGGGCCGCTATTCTTTAGTCACCTGAAATATATTATCTGGCGAATTTATCCCTGCATTACTGATAATTATGATTTTGTAGCACTGCATTTGCGAAGAAGTGCGCTAAAATCATACGTGACATCGACTACGAACCAAAATATCATCAAGGTGTCCCCACTGATTTCACCCACGTGAGCCGACAAACCTACCACGAATTACAGTATACCAAGTAATTAATAATTTACCGGCATTTCGTGTTTCTGGGTATGTAAAACAATTTGTTCAACATTCAATGGTTCCAATTTCAATGAGTCCATTCACTCTCGACTAATGATGCTTAGCACTGCAGTACAAACCGTGTATATCTATCTAATCCTTGGTCTGTTAACTGTTTTGCCACAATTTTTAACGCCTTCAGAGAGTCTGAATACTACTTCATGCTGGCTGTGTGAATTCTGTGAAATTTCATCTGCAATTTGACTGTTATTATTATCCACTTGGGTTCCCAGTGGAACATAGGACTTCAGCAACACATCTTTTTGTTCTATTCTCTGCTATCCTCTAAAGCTGAGTCCACGACCTACCATAGTCTCTCATCCTCTACTCACACGCTTCCCTCTATGTCACCCTCGGACAACCCACTCGTCGCCTACCGTTGGGATTCCACTCCAGTGACGGCCTGGCACAAGATATCATGCGATGGATTGCAAAATATTATTTTTTTCAGTTTTTCTTAGCTTTTTTCTGATTATAGCTTTGTTTTGTTTTTCCTATTTTCTTTTTGCTTATTCTTGCTTTCAATTTGTCCTTCAATATTCAGCCAGAATTGGCAGCTTTCGATGAGTACCTACGACTTTTTGGAAATGCTCTTCGTGTCATCCAGTGCGATATTCTTACCCGTATAGAAGCACCAACTTCTCTTTAGTGTTCAAAATGCGAATCGTTTTCCTTATTCTGTGTGCGGAAGATTTTCATAGTGGTTTCGGTCTGATGAAGTCGTATCACGCCTTTCCAATTCTGACTCTGAAATCTCTATCCGTTCCAACTTTGGTTGAAACGATGCTTCCTTGATGAGTGGAGGGAGTAAGCTCATTCAAATCTCTTCCGTTGATGGGGTTATGATGCTGGTTGTTTTCGCTGTTGCTGTTCTTTGGCTATCCTCATTACCTCTGCCTTCACCACGTCCACTTGAAGTACTGTCTTCGCTGCCAGCCTATTCAACCAGTTTGTTGCTTTTCACTTGCAAGTCTTCGAGTGTGTGCAACATCAGAAATAAATCACTTATGGAATCTAGATCTTACAGAGTCTTCTTGTCGTCCCAGTGTAACCCTGTCACCTCACTCGCCACAGTCTGACGCATAATCCAGTCCACTACAATTAGGAATGTCATCGTTGGTAATAGGCAGCCCTGCATTACTCTCGTATTCACTTCGAACTCCTCTCTGAGCTTTTTGTTGTGGATCACCTGGCACCTGGCATTGTCGTATATTCAGCTGTTGAATAGGGTTGATAAAGACTTGGTACTGCACGGCGTTGTGTGGTGGTATTTTCCTAATTACTTCTCAGTCAACGCCATTGAAGGCTCTCTCGCAGTCGATGATGTTAAGGTATAAGTTTGACTGCCACCCTATGCCTTCTTTGATGATGATGGTGTTCAGGGTTGCGAATCGATAGATACATGAATTGCCATTCCTGAATCCAGCTTGGTCTTATAGAGAGGAGTTCTGTATCCAGTGCATCTCTTATTCTCTCTAGGATGAAACAACTTAGTATTTTATTTGGCGTGGACAAGAGCACTATTCCATGCCAGTTCTATGGGAGGCCTAAATCCCCTTTCTTTGAAAGTTTGACAATATGGCCCCTCTTCCACTTAGTATTTACCTTTTCTACCCTTTCCAAACCTTTTGCAACAATGGCGTGAGCACATCTACTGCAGCCTTTGGGTCCGTTTTCAGTGCTTCGGGGGGATTTAATCTGGTCCTGCTACCTCCCTGAGTGGATATCGGTAGCTTCATCGCATTCAAGATTTCCGCTTTCTCATGGGGATGGGTGTCCACTAGTGGGCAGTTGTATGCGTGCGTGCTGCTGTTGGTACTTCAAGGTGAGTTTCAGGTGATGGTCGGTTCGAGTGTGCTATAAAGTGATCAGCCCACCGTGTCATTTACGTCTCCTCCCTGCTAATCAGGTTCCCTTGAACATATTTTATTTGCTTCATCCGAGTTGACCTCCTCCTAGATGGAGACCTGGTTATCCGATATAATGTCCTACAGTCTCCTTTACCTGCGACTTGCCTGCTTTGCTATAGTTGCCAGCCAGTTCGTCTTGGAATTGTCCTTTCTCTTTCCAAGCACTCTTCTTCACTTCTATATTCAGTGAAGTGTACATTGAACTTAGCCTCTCCTTCTGTTGTGCATTTTTGAACTGAGTCATCTTCTCTTTCACCATCCTCCCCTCAACCCGCCTCGATCAGATACCAGGTATCCGTTGACAGCCATTCTCCGTTTTGTCAATTCTTTCTTCCTAGAAGAGCTTTACACGTTTCTTTCAGGTCACGGTTACCCAGCGGTCTAAGGCGCCATACTGAAGAGTAATCTTCTGGGTGATCTGGTCCACGATGTGACCTTGGTTTGAATCCCACCTCCGACACACGCTATTGTGCGTCGGTGGCACAGTGGTCGGGAATCTCGCCGACCGTGCACATGGTCCGGGGTTCGATCCCCTGCCGGCGCACACCTGATAACAATGGTTGGCCGGCAAAATTTGGGTTACCGATATCACGTGCTAAAAATCAATGTGGTTTTTGGTGTATCTGTCTGGCGAAAACCATATCGCTGGCCTTGTGTATATCCTTGTGCTTGTACACGCTGACTCCGATCACCAGATCATTGAAAGCCAGAAGTCTGCAAATAATTATTCATTCTCATTCATTTCGCCGAGCGAGAACCTCCCAACTCACAATGAGTTCCCTTCCCACATAATCTGCTCCTACTTTGGCTTGCATTCATATCGCCCATGAGGATTTTAATGTCACCATTTCGGATGCTATCAATTACTGTTTGCAGTTGTCTGTAAAAGACTTCCTTCTTCTCTTGTTCCATGTTGTTCGTAGCACTGTGCGTAGCATTGGATAGTTGTACCCTTCTTTCCTCTTTCCCTTTTCGAGTTGAATCTTGACATCTTGATCCTGAGACGAAATTGTTTCCCGTTGCGTTAGAGCTCTGGCTGCCACTGCTAATATCATGATAGCCACTCACTGCCTCAGTGTGCTTCCGGTTGTCGTTTAAGTGGATGATCAGAGTATATTACTGACTCCTTAGTTGACAGTTTTGATAATCTACATCTATTCCATCTGCTCTCGCAGATTCCCGGCACTTCTACTTCATATCTTTGCGTATATTTGGGTGCCTGTACAGCCTTTCCAGATGGCTTCGTACATAGTACGAACATTCTACGTAGCCATTCTTATTTTTGCTTTCATTGAGAGAAGAGACATCGGCTGGGTGACTGGCTTCACGAAGGCTTTCACTAACCGCGCCGTTTCCCCTCTCGGATTCCGGTGAAGAATAAGATTATTATTCGTTTTTTTGCGTTGTTGACATATTTTCTGTGCGTTTAAGTTTTTGCAGCAGCTTGATTGGCTTTGTGGTGTAGGGTGAGTAGTTGGACTCCCAACCCCCTTCTTTTCCTGGGTTTGGGACAGGCTAAAATTAGCGAGCTAGTAAACTAAGCGAGGTTAACGCGAGTCTAGAGTGCATGCATTTGGTGTTGTGGGAAAAGAATACCTAATTTCCCTACCCGGGCTTGCTAGTAGTAAATCGTTTCCTCATATATAAAGGAGCTACTTAGGTTAAGTTTCTTGAATTGGATATTACAGTGTAAGTTTCTGAACATCAGGAGGAAATATATTTAGTGTGCACTGTAGCGCAATGAGTGATTCAAAAAATGTATCTTAAGCAATATTTTCTACATGATTGGCATTTTTCAGTTAGTTGCTTTTATTTTAACGAGTCATATCATTTACAAAGTAAGTGAGGCATAGCATTCTAACCTTTGCTTTCTTCTCTGAATTGACTGTTTCGGTAACCGGTTTTTGTATCAAAATAGCCGTCAAACCGCTGGATAATTCGCATATAGAGTAAGAAGGCAGCAAACACTGTTGCATGTGTATTCAGTGAGTACGCCAGTGAGCAGATTAAGTAGCGTAGTCGAATCAGACGGGAGGAATGGCGTCTGCAGTTCACTACCGGAATAGTGTGCTAAATCTCAAGAATTCACAATATCACACTGAAAGCGTCAACAGCTTGCTCAAAAATTTCAATTTATCGTCTAATCTCTAACAATTCCGAGTCTGTATACTATTTATTTTGTGAGCCTATTCAGTGCCCAAGTGTTCAATATCAAACCCAGGTTCTAGCACTCTGGCTTTCGTGCTCATTGGGATGTTCACTTCCAATTCCATTAGTTTTTTGAAGTCATGCTCATCGCCTGTGTAAGATAGAAAGGACGCAGTGAGGGTTAAAATACTAATTCCACGAGAAATAAGAGTGAAGGAACCAAGCGTCAAAAATGTGAATGAGACTAAAACCGTCGCAAGATTTCTAAATGGGCTTTGCATAGGTTGCCTCTCTAACGACCTTATACAGTTTTGACGAAATTTTCTGCGGTTTGTTCTCATGACTAAGCTGCCAAGCAACTATTTACGGTGCATAACCTCAACCGAATCGATGACCGATGATAGCAGTATAACAATACAGCTTTTATTTCAAACAATGTGCGAACATATGGTACATAAAACTTGCAACATATTTAGTTCCAAAACATATTTTTCGGCTAAGTTCAAGAACAGCGTCCCAGGTGTGTGGACACTTCAATGACCTTGCTCGCAGGTTAGTCTTTGGCCGACGGCTCCTGTCATTGGCATAGGTCAAACATCAACGCTTGTCACCAACTTAGCAGCAAATCTCATCCAAATCACGTTTTTAAGTACTCTTCCGCTAATGTGTCAATAGCTCATCATAGTTAGGATAAGGGTTAAGGTGAGGGTTGTAATTAGGGTTTTAATCAAGGTTAGGGGTAGTGTTAGGTTCAGAATTAATTTCGGGGTCACGATTAGGGATGGATTTAGAGTTGATGTCATTTATTTACATTTGTTTAACCACCACATTTTCCTGGTATGTAGCCGTCTATCGTCTCTCTGCAAACTGTAGTAATTCAACCTAGGACCTTTGGGGGAAGACTGCGGATGGGGATAAGGGAG